TACAACATCATCTCTGTAAAACAATATTGTCGGTTGAGCATATGCGGTGATACATATGTATATGATTGATCAATGTGTCGAATGTTGCTAGTTTGTTCTGTCAGTAACCAAAACTGCAAGAGATTTGTGCTTTCTAAATTAACATCCCTGTTGCTGTATACATACTCCAATTTGCTTGTATTTCCAATAATTTTCGTGTTATTCTCCAATTTCTGTTCACCAAATTTATAATACACAGATATCAAGTATTTGCAATCATTCTGTCCATAAAGGGAGATAACATTGATTTGAAGAATTGCAGACAAATTTGCCTTCGTATCTTCATCAATCATTATTGGGCGAATTCGTGTTTTATAAACGCAGCGTGTGTTCCTGTTGGTTGGCCTCTGAATTGCCCATTACAATACTCGGTTCTCTAATACATTCCTGCGGAGGGAGCTGGTAGGAACGTTGGGTTGCTCGGTCAATGGCCAGGGTCAACGGCGGCGTGGTGTATTCCGCAAATATGCCCGACTGTGAGGGCGGGTACAAGCCGGTGTGAGTAGGTTAAACGTTGAGTTTTATAAGGGCACCACGGGGTGACCAGCCCCTCCCCACCCAGCCCCACCCCTCCCACCCAGCCCCACCCTCCAAACCCAGCCCCTCCCCACCCTCCCCACCCAGCCCCACTCTCCCCTCCCCACCCTCCCCACCCAGCCCCTACATCCCTCCCTACCCAGCCCCTCCCCACCCTCCCCTCCCCACCCAGCCCCACCCAGCCCCTCCCTCCCCACCCAGCCCCTCCCTGCACGACGGACGGACACAATAATCCCCTGTGGGCTGGTGTAACCAGGAGGTTCCTACCAGTATCTATATATATAAAATCGTTCATGTCTGTCTGTGTGTGTGTGTGTGTGGACTTTGGCCCATACGCACTTTCATTGGACGGCGGTTGCCCCTGGCAACGGCTAGCCACGCCTTCGCCGCTTTCATTGGACCTGGCAACGGCTAGCCACGCCTTCGCCAAGGGCTGCAGTTTCATTGGACGGCGGTTGCCCCTGCCAACGGCTAGCCACGCCTTCGCCACTTTCATAAGCTCCGTATTTAATTAAATAATAGCCATTACACAGTATTGTTGGAGCGCTAGGGGGGGGGGAAGGAACGCCACCCGTACCCTGCCTCTTTCAAGCCGACAATTTTAGGCGAGGCCGCAGGCTTTGCACGCTACTAGGCCCCGACACCCACCACGCCACTCTGAGGTAAATTCATCAAAGTTTTTCCTACTCTTCACTACACCCCCACCACAATGTGTGCTATTAATATTACTTTTAAACCCAACGCGCCAACAATCGATTACTTTAATGTTCACTGTACAAATACTCATTAAGCTGGGTGAGCGTACTGCCAGTCTATCATGTACACTGTAGCCTGCTTATTAAGCTCGGTGAGCGTACTGCCACTCTATCATGTACACTCTAGCCTGCTTATGAAGCTGAGTGCGTGTACTGGCAGTCTATAATGTGGACTCTTGCCTGGTTATTATATTCGATTCTTTATATGTTCTTTGTACAAACAGTCATTAAGCTGCTTGAGCGACCCCAGTTCGATTCCAACTCACGCCCACCACCGCTGACGATTATTTTAAACGGACCTGGCCCTCCCCTAGGTCCACTCAGCCTCAAAAGCGTAACTGCTGTCGTGTGTGAACATCGTCACTGGGGAGACAAAGGCGGCGGGGCATCGTGGATCCAAGTCCCGGGCGAAGCCGGGTCATGTGTATGTGTGTTTGTGTTTATGTGTATGTCTGTGTGTCTCTATGTATGTGTGTATGTATGTGTATGTATGTGTTTGTGTGTATGTGTGTGTGTATGTATGTGGGTTTTTTATGTCTTTATGTGTATGTCTGCGTGTCTCTATGTATGTGTGTATGTACGTGTGTGCATGTGTTTGTGTGTATGTATGTGTGTGTCTATGTATGTGTGTGTCTATGTATGTGTGTGTATGTGTGTGTATGTATGTGTGTTATGTGTCTGTCTGTGTCTGCATGTATGTGTGTGTGTATTGTGTATGTGTTTGTGTGCATGTATGTGTGTGTTTGTGTGTATGTGTATGTCTGTGTGTATGTGTTTGTGTGTATGTGTGTGTATGTATGTGTGTGTATGTGTTTGTATGTGTTTGTGTGTTTACGCTCGCATTACACAAATGTGTTGCTGGTCTAAGGCGTTCCTCGCACAGCATTGCCGCTTTATTATTTCAGTCGTTTACTGCCTTACGCACCCTGAAAGTCGTGTGTGTCTGCAGCAAGCGCGTGTATGTGTACCTATGGACGCGCGCGCGTGTGTTGTGTAGGGGGAACGGTAGTGTAGTGCTTAGCGTGCTGTCTGTGTCTGTGTGTGTGTGTGTCTGTCTGTGTCTGTCTGTGTGTGTCTGCGTGTGTCTGTGTGTGTGTCTGTGTGTGTGCGTGTGTGGTGTGTGGGGAGCGGTAGTGTAGTGCTTAGCGTGCTGTCTGTGTGTGTGTGTGTCTGTCTGTGTCTGTCTGTGTGTGTCTGCGTGTGTCTGTGTGTGTGTCTGTGCGTGTGTGGTGTGTGAGGAGCGGTGGGTGTAGTGCTTAACGCTACGCTGCGCTACCAACCCGGCGAACCCAGTTCCATTCCCGCTCACGGCCACCACCGGTGACGATTATTTGAACCTCCCCTAGGTCCACTCAGCCTCAAACGAGTAACTGGTGTGGCGTATTAACATCGGCACTTGGGAGACAAAGGCGGCTGGGCGTGGTAGATCCAAGTCCTGGGCGAAGCCGGGTCATGTGTATGTGTTTATGTGTATGTCTGTGTGTCTGTATGCATGTGTGTTTGTATGTGTGTGTATGTGTTTGTGTCTATGTCTGTGTGTGTATGTATGTCGGTTTTGCCGCCGTGGTGGATCCAAGTCCCGGGCGAAGCCGGGTCATGTGTATGTGTTTATGTGTATGTCTGTGTGTCTGTATGCATGTGTGTATGTATGTGTGTGTATGTGTTTGTGTGTATGTCTGTGTGTGTATGTATGTCGGTTTTGCCGCCGTGGTGGATCCAAGTCCCGGGCGAAGCCGGGTCATGTGTATGTGTGTATGTGTTTATGTGTATGTCTGTGTGTCTGTATGCATGTGTGTATGTATGTGTGTGCATGTGTTTGTGTGTATGTATGTGTGTGTGTGTCATCTCGGTCATCTCGGTCAGTCGACCAGTGGCACCTGGGTCTGCCCCGTGACCTCCTGCCAGCGGGCTTTCGACACTTCACGTGGCCTCAAGGTGCACTTGGCCTGGCACAAGCATCGTGGTGACGTCACCGCCACTTAGTGGCGAATGGCGGTTGTTGTTGTTGTTGTTGTGTGTGTGTATGTATGTGGGTTTTTTTGTATGTGTTTATGTGTATGTCTGCGTGCCTGTATGTATGTGTGTATGTACGTCTGTGGATGTGTTCGTGTGTATGTATGTGTGTGTCTATGTATGTGTGTGTGTATGTGTTTCTGTGTTTGTATGTGTGTGTATGTATGTGTGTTATGTGTCTGTCTGTGTGTCTGCATGTATGTGTGTGTGTATTGTGTATGTGTTTGTGTGTGTTTGTGTGTTTACGCTCGCATTACACAAATCTATAATGCGGGTCTAAGGCGTTCCTTACACAGCATTGCCGCTTTATTATTTCAGTCGTTTACTGCCGTATGCACCCTGAAAGTCGTGTGTGTCTGCAGCAAGCGCGTGTATGTGTACCTATGGACGCGCGCGCGTGTGTTGTGTAGGGGGAACGGTAGTGTAGTGCTTAGCGTGCTGCCTGTGTCTGTGTGTGTGTGTCTGTGTGTGTGTGTCTGTGTGTGTGTCTGTGTGTGTGCGTGTGTGGTGTGTGGGGAGCGGTAGTGTAGTGGTTAGCGTGCTGTCTGTGTGTGTGTTTCTGTCTGTGTGTGTCTGCGTGTGTCTGTGTGTGTGTCTGTGCGTGTGTGGTGTGTGAGGAGCGGTGGGTGTAGTGCTTAACGCTACGCTGCGCTACCAACCCGGCAAACCCAGTTCGATTCCCGCTCACGGCCACCACCGGTGACGATTATTTGAACCTCCCCTAGGTCGACTCTGCCTCAAACGAGTAACTTAACTACTGTAGCGTATTAACATCGCCACTGGGGAGACAAAGGCGGCCGGCCGTGGTAGATACAAGTCCCGGGCGAAGCCGGGTAGTACAGCTAGTCATCTTTAAATACACATTTCATAACCATGGAGTGGCGTGTGCTTGGAATTGCAATGAGGGACAGATGAACGCACGACAGATACGCAAGTTATAGACATCGTATCGACTGGTAGGAAGTCGCATTGGCTTTGGCAGGGCACGTCGCTTGCAGATGTGATGGCCAGTGGCCGAGACTAATAACGGAGTGGCAGGCAAAGGGATACTCCCCGACAGTTATGAAATCAGCTCGTGGTCAGACGCTTACAGAGATCATTGCATTAAAGACTATTTAGAGACGGCAATGGCTAGGTGAGGCCGTTACAAATAAGTGGATTTTTCATAGCTGATGACGAAAGGTATTGTAGCTTTGAGGCTGACAATTAAAAAAAATCCATACTCGAGTTTTTTTAGAATTGTATTCCAGGTTGTTGATAAAGACGGTACAATTTTCACATTGACGAACATTGAAGTCCTCGTTATAAAATGCAATTGTATATAGTCCACCTCCGTTTTAGGTGTTCACAAGAGGAATGTTTGTTTCTTTAAAATAATTGTTTGGAATATCATTGGACATTTTGATCGATTCCCAGCTATAATTTGTTGATGAATCCAAAAACATTGGATAGAATTGCAACATCCCCGGAAGTAGATTGCAAACGCAACAGCGGCATTCGGCTCCCAACCATGGCAATACACACTGCAAACATTATTCAAGAACGCGCTCTTGCTGTTGACACGGATTATCAGTTATGATAAAGTGCTGCAGGGTGTGTGTGTGTAAAGATACAGTACTGTGTATATATTCCACACAAATTGCACACGAGGAATGATTCACCTTTGATAATTTTATTGCATTGAAGAAAAGAGACGCTGTCACTAATTTCAGCATTGGCACGGGTAATGTATAACAAGCAAGGACCTCAAGAAATACAGTTTTTGTTCAGTTGCGAGGCTGTGAATTATTATAAAGTATTGTAACCCGACGATAAATACTTGGTATCTAACCATTCCGCGTCCTCCCCCCCCACCCCATTGCATTATTCGATGAATTGCAACAATTTGGTGTCAATTCAAATGTGTTGCCATGATGGTGAACGGTAGTGGCCTCTAATGACTGCAAGGGTCGTCACGTGAACACGTTTACCTACAGTATGGATGAACAATTGAACGTATGTGCGATTACATATTATAATAAAAAATATCGCAATACATGCGGAATTTTACAACGCATACTCATTTGTGGATTAAACAAACCACTGGTTACTTTTTCAGAAAACAATCGACGAAACCCGAGGAAAAACGACCAATCATGACCATCAGTGCGGTGGATGACGGCAGAAAAGTAGCGAATGCGACACAACGACATTCGTACAAATGATTCCACCGACGATTTTAGTGTCTCCACGCGATATACCGCTTGTTGGCTCACTGTACCCCTTTACAAACCTTGACACAATACACTTTTACAAAGTATTCCAGTTTCATTGCTTCATCGAAGAATGCTACATTTGTTCAACAAATTCATCTTGTTTAATACAAACTAAAGAATTACGTTGTTTTGTAGATTTATACCTACAGGCACTTTCATAAAACACTATTCACTGTACATATATTCGTGTAAATCCAATTACATCAGTGCCAAACGGCGGTACTATTGCAGTAATCTTTTAGGCGAGTGAATGAATCTGCCTGCTATTTTAACTTCACCAAAACCATAAAATAAAACGTTAGGTTACGCCATCCGAGACATTAATGTGTCATGATATTATGAATCTACATGCTCAACCTCTATTTTTATAATACTGAAAATCAAATCACGCTTCAGCAAATTACAAACTGTAGCCAAACACAAAGTATCTATGTAGAGTCTCTTCTATAATGCCGTGTGTTCACATAACGCGAATTTGATATAACGCGAATTTGATATAACGCAATCAGGACTACGTCGCCTCGGCATCTTCTCATGCTACCCACGTGCCTCAGTCTTTGTTCAGTCTGCATACTTCACATGTTTTCGCGTAGTGTGCTTTACAATATAATATAATGCGGTGTTCTGCAGGAACGGAACTACCGCGTCATAGAACAGACTGTATGCTGAACTTCTTTCGCACCGTACGTAGTCAACCCCGTGCTAATCGGAGGATCGAATGTATGATTAACACCCATTGATTTCATTCAATAATGCACCGAGCACAACCAGCACATCATTTAAATTGATCTTTCTCTTGCGACTGTATACGTTTTTGCAGGTATGCTGTACAGTTTGCCCCCCCGTTATTCACGAACATACTATCCGTGATTTGGGCTATCCGTGAACCTTATCCGGAACTCTACACGACTACACCAAGAGAGAGAAAGTGATGAGATAAAGTGATAAAGTGATGAGATTATTTTCATCTATTTATTTAAGGTATCATTATCCGCAAAATTTGCTAACCACGAGCATCTCCGGAACGTATCCCTCGCGGATAACGAGGGAATACCGCATTGTAGCTCTCCAGTTTGTGGGTTGTTCCGCATAGTCTTTGTTAGGACATCGAATTGATTTCAGTTCCTGCACTATTCAGCTCCTGACAAAGCTCCCACCACCCAGCACGTGCAGCGAAACATCAGACACCACGCCGTAGAAAGCGCAGCAACAACCCGAAAAAGCACAACCTGGGGAGGTTGCAATCTTTCTAATCTTTTACCAAACCCGAATTTGTTTAAATGTGAAGTTTTTGTCTTCTTGGTTCTTTCGGTAAAGTCACGTAGAAGGGAAATAATAAAATAAAATAAATAAAACATAATAAAATAATTCTCACGACGTTTCGGCCACAACGCAAGTATCCGTCCTCAGGTGAAGAACAGGTCTGTCGGGAAGACGCTGTCTTTCCGACAGACCTGTTCAGACCTGTTCAGACCTGTTCTTCACCTGAAGATGGCTGCTTGCGTTGTGGCCAAAACGTCGTGAGAATTATTTTATTTATTATGTTTTATTTTTATTATTTTATTATTTCCCTTCTACGCGACTTTACCGAAAGAACCAAGAAGAAGAATCCCTGCAGTCACGAAAGCTTCAAATCGAAAAGTTACATTTTTAATTCGCACACCCTTGAAATCACAGCGGGGCGACTCGGTGCACCAGGGTGGCAACGAGAGTGAGTGAGAGCGTCACGGCGATGTTTGCGCGGCCACGGCCGGCGTTTCCCATTTGGCTGGCGTAATGACGAGCCACCTCGACGTTGGGGTTTTTGTCTGTGAACCACATCTGGATACAGCGGCCACTCCCACGATCGTCCTCCGTGTACTTATACGAGCTGCTCCAGATGCGCTCGCACAGGTCCTTCGGTGTGGGGAAGATCACACGGAACAGCTTGCACTGGGAGTCAGGTGGGCAAAGGTTGGTACCTGCCAGGGGGAATGGCAATAATTGAAAGGTAAGATATTGGAAGGCAATGATACAATTGTGTCATTTAATAATGATTGCAGAGCACAGCATGGGAAATATATTGATCTACGATGGCTTTGAGATTGTTTTTAATTGTCACTTTTCCAAATTTACTCAAATTGTACTCTCGGCCTCGTGTCATGCGAGTCCATTTTGAATTTTAGAGAGCCACGCACCCATGTGTCAGAGCACGGCCAACGGAATATATTTTTCACAGCATATGTTCCATCAACTCCACAAAGTTTGTGTGTTTTTGCCCACGCACTCTGCAATATGACTGTGTATTACATGACAGTAAAACTGACATTTGAACGTATTGGCAGTACACAGGTGCACAGTATAAAAACACGTTACTCAATAATTATACTGGTAGGAACCCACTGGTTCCACCAGCCCACAGGGGATTATTGTGTCCGTCCGTCGTGCAGGGAGGGGCTGGGTGGGGGGGGAGGGAGGGGTTGGGTGGGGAGGGTGGGGAGGGGCTGGGTGGGGAGGGTGGGGCTGGGTGGGGAAGGGAGGGTGGGGAGGGGCTGGGTGGGGAGGGTGGAGAGGGGCTGGGTGGTGAGGGTGGGGAGGGGCTGGGTCGGGAGGGTGGGGCTGAGTGGGGGGTGGGGGCTGGGTGGGGAGGAGCTGGTCACCCCGTGGTGCCCTTATGAAACTCAACGTTTAACCTACTCATGCCGGCTTGTGCCCGCCCTCACAGTCGGGCATATTTGCGGAATGCACCACGCCGCCGTTGACCCTGGCCATTGACCGAGCAACCCAACGTTCCTACCAGCTCCCTCCGCAGGAATGTGTTTTATTTTCCCATGATTCGCAACCCCTGACAGAAAATATTGCAGGGTGGTGCGTCAAAATCAGTTCTCGTGATGTCGAAGCAGTCGGAAGACGAATACCAGTTCAAAAGGTTGGATATAAATTGTTTAAGAAGAACCGTTGTGTTGTGCTCCACTAGTGTACCGCCAAAACGTCAAAAACATTTTTGTTTCAAAGCTGGATTTCATAACGTTTTTTTTCGTGAAGTCACAGGGCTGAAATCAGAAGTCGCAACCGGATACCCGATACCCGTACCCTACCCGATACCGGGCTACCCGTACCCGGCTGGGTACGGGTACGGGTAGCCGTTTGCGACCCTGGTGTGGCCGGGTACGGGTACGGGTAGGCCGTGAGTCACTGGTGAATAACCATTTGTCACTCATTTCGGGTAGGGTACGCGTATGGGTAGGGAACGGGTACCCGTACCTGGGTGGGTACGGGTACCCATTTGCGACCCTGGTGCGGCCGGGTACGGGTAAGGAATCAAAACCCGTTTGCGACCTCTGGCTGAAATCATCAAATCGCTACACTTGAGAAGCTGGTTTGACCAAGGTGGAAGTGCCAATTCAAACCCAGGATTCCCAGCGGTGCGAACACGACGCGTTCAGAGGTCGAGGAGCTATCACTCACCGCCCGGGAATCGAATTCCAATCGGTCCGGTGCAGTGCGTTAACCACCGAGCGTCACCTCACCAAAATGAAGTCAATATTCGACCACGCTTCGGTTGTCTGTGGATATATTGTGCAATGGGGGGATATTACTAAGTGGCATTGAGAGTTTGTGGTGTTTTACGAGTCGCTTACCATTTATCCATTCCCAACCTCTGTGCCAGTTTTCTTTGCAGGTGTAATCATTTCGACAGTCATTCCACCAACTATGGCAGTCACTTTTGCAGAGTGGAACATTTATGATTCTCTCCTTTCTCCAGCTGCTGTCAGTCTGTTGCACATAAGGCCAAAGATACAAACATAACAAACAATTCGTTTAATTACGGAGCCATGTGTTCCCATATTATTTTAACAAATATGTATTTTTCCACAATATTATCCCGATTTCAGTTTCAGAGTTGCATCATGAGACACAGAATCTCTCGCAATGCAGTGCCACCTTTCGCGTTAAAGAAAGTCCCATGGAAGCGGATAATGTAGAACTAACGTTGAGATCCCGTCAAGTGATCTCTATTCTGCACAGTAAGGGGCAGGAGTTTCCCTCGCCACCCAGCAAGAGTCATGTTTGTCACGAGTTAACCCAATATTTTTTATTGTCAGTGTTAAAATGTATCCAAATTTATTGCAGAACTAAATGTTACATTTATTTATTTTGCAGTCATTGGTAACCAGGCTGATGCAATCAACTCACAACACTTAAGAACCCAGTTTACTCACAATTTCACGCGTTCGAGCAGTGATAACAAATTATGTCATTGACCACGAACCACATGTTTTTCATAATTGTGTTAATAGCCGACTTAGTGGATTCCGCACCAGCATCTAATACATGGTATTTGTAGTATAAATTAGAGAACAATGCATATTTGAAACCAAGAGCTGTTCCATGACCATAAAATATTTCTAGCACATTTAAAACAATATGAGCACATCACACGCATTATTCGTTCCCTGTGTTGGCTTCCAGTAAAATACAGGATCGAATTTAAAGTTCTTGTATTGGCTTTCAATGCCCTGAAAGGGTTCGTGCCATTATATCTCGATGATCCGCTGAAATCGTATGCCCCTGTCCGGCAACTTCTATCCACCAACTTCCGGGCACCTGAGTGTACACCTCAGACAAATCTGCGTTCAATGGATGATAGAGCATTCAGTAGTCAGGCGCCTCGTTTGTGGAACGTCTTGCCCCAGACCGTTAGGGATGCTCCGTCAGTCGAGGTTTTTAGGGCTCGTCTAAAAACACATTTATTTTCTCTTTTGTTATCCGTTTGTGTAGGGTTATTTTTCTCTTAGTTTTAGTGTCAAGGGTGTTTACTGGGATTCTGTTGTAAAGCGCTGTGAAGCCTTGTGTGAATTGCGCTACATAAAACTAAGTTTTACTTAGCATCAGTTTTTGTCTATCACATCAGGTTTTTTGAGATATCAAATATTGCATTTTCAATAAAAATTGCAGAAGAAAAATATTAAATAAATGTGGCTGTGTTACGGTGCGCCATCGTGCCACCCTAATGGATATTCGAAGCCAGTGAAAATTACAAATGTGGTGAAGTTTTGCTGACCATGCTTTGGAATTCCACAATCTCTTGTTCAATGTTGGATTATTGCTCTTTGCATGTGGTGAAAATTTGACTTCTCCTCGTGTCAGGTCTCAGACACTCATTTTTTTTTATTTAGAATGCAGATAGTGCAATTGCAAGTATAATCATCAATACGCTTCAAGGACGCATGGCAGATGCAGCTATCTCCTACACAAAGGGCATGTAAAAATGGCCCACAGTGGGACATTGGTCACCAATCTCCAACTGTGGAACACAGGAGAATCTCAGATAACACTGGTCAACAAAAAAAAAAAAACATTTTTTTCTGGCCAGGACTTTTGCAGCTGTTTTAGACTAATTTCAGGGTGCTGATTCCAAATCTGATCTCAGATTTGCTCTATCGCATCTCATTTTTATGCTATCGGCATACCCCATTTTCATTGATTTTACCCAAAATTAACTCTGTCACTTATGATTGCAAGTTGTTGCGAGTTAGTGACTGCTTTAGTGTTAAAATATGGTGCTCTATTTTTAGGATAGTGTGTTTATAATATAATTTTATGTAGATATCCACATTTATTTAATATTTTTCTTCTGCAATTTTTATTGAAAATGCAATATTTGATATCTCAAAAAACCTGATGTGATAGACAAAAACTGATGCTAGATTTGGATTCAGCACCCCAAAATTACCATAAAACCGTTGGAATACCTTATGCCACTCCTGAAGCCATCCACCACCTTCACAACCTTGACACGAACATATATACTTTACTGATTAATTTTTCACCAGAGGAAATAAGAAGACGCTAAATCAGTGAAGTACCTTCTTGATCCAGGGTCCCAGATTTGGCGAGCACTCGTACAAACAGGTGTCCTGCACAAAGTGCTTCTTGCATGCATCCGACAATTTAGGCTGGCCCAGAGACCAGCAGTGATTCCAGTTGAAGTTGTACAGGTACGATTGATCCTCATGAGCTTGTTCTGTAGTGTTGGCGTTGCAACATGCATTGTCCTTCCATGGTGCACACTTTGGGTTTCACATTGACACACACAAAGACAAAGATCATCCTCATGGCCTTAACCAACATTTGGAGCAAGTGCAGTTAGCGAGCACCTATGAATGCCGGCACGGTACACGACGGGGTGGGTTACCAACGCCTTTGTCTTCCCAGTGACGATGTTTATACACCACACCACGTACTCATTTGAGGCTGAGTCGACCTAAGACCGGTTCGGATAATCTTCACTGCTGTTGCTAGCCAAAGCAGGAATCAAACTCAGGTCGCGGGGTTCGTAGCACTCCCAGCTAACTGACACACTACCACTCCCCTATAGGTTAACACAAAAGATACCAAAGATCCCCCGTATAGCCTTAACAGACTGTTGGGGCAAGTGCTGTTAGCGAGTACCTATGAAGGCCAGCACGGTACACGAGGGGGTGGTTGGCCAGCACCACGCCCGACCGCCCTTGTCTCCCCAGTGGCGATGTTTACACACCGCACCAGGTACTCACTTGGGGCTGAGTCGACCTAGGGGAGGCCCACGACCAGTTCAGATAATCGACATTGGTGTTGGCCATGAGCAGGAATCGAACTCGGGTTGCCGGGTTAACACACACACATATATACACACAGAAAAGAAATACTTGAGAGGAACAAGGATACATGAAGGGAAAATAAACCGTCACCGGATGGGATGTATTTACTATTTAAGTGAAAGACTTTAAAATATACACATGGTTGCCCACTCTTTAAATGTCGCAATCGAGCCCCACAAGGCTAAACAATGGACAACAAAATACATGTTGTTCTGTATCTCTAGACCTCCTTGTCTTTCTTTCTCACTTCGATGAAAGAAAATCTACATCCAGTCCTGAACTCCACCTTCACCAACCTGCACTGACCAGTGTGGTGAAGTATGGCCAAAGTAACCCCCACGACCCGCACAGAGGTCCTCAACCAGCAGCGGACTGACAAGGGGTTGAGCATGTACAATGTGCTAAAGAATTATTGCTTAAATAAAAATCTGGTCCACTGACATCGATCTATTCTGAGCATTAACTGCATATTATTCTCGCTAATAGCAGTGTATTAACCAGGGTTAATAGTCACGCGAACTCTCTATTGCACTGAATTCCAAAACGTCTCCATGACCAACCTTTTAGACTCATGACCTTTGATCGACTTTTTAATGTTCAAGCAAACGCATCTAATTTGTATGAGATACGTTTCAGATGAAGTGGGTCAATATTGCACGAAAGATTGAGAGCGGATAAATATTTGTACAATGTAGACAAATGAGATACTATAAAAGTGTCCCCCACTCGGAACTGAGACACAGCTGTGTCAAGAGTCTGAACAGAAGTATGTACTTGAGATTAAACTGCATAATTAACATTGATTTATGTTTGTGCAGTATTTTCAAATTCTCACGTGACGCGGTCGCTTTTTTTGTTGTTTAGATTTGTATTTTCTACATTGCTGTACTTGGTGACCCAGGTGACTTTTCAAATGATACTTTCCTGGTCTCTTGAGTTCTCATCTAGTTAAACAAAACTCGAAACTCCACTGCAATTGTAACACATATTGCACTTTCAATGGTAAGTGCTTTTTGTCAACATATACCGCATTAAGTGTACTACATTTTAGGTATGTAGCAATTCATTCTCTCCGCGCCTGTGATTTGAGCCGTCACTACCGCATTCTAGGTTGTGTTTCATTGACTTAGCATGATTCAGATTAACAACTCATTGAATGAACACACATACACACATAGAATACACGCACACAGAGAGAATTGAATTTTCACAATGAATTGTCACAATTCAGATTCACAATTCGAAACAAGAAGAACTTCTCAAATTTTTACCCATATGACTTGTATTTCTTTTTGTGCATTTCTGTCGAAATTGTATTAAAAAAATCACACCGTCAGCCTAAATATAACTTCAGAATATGACTTGCATAAATCCATGTTAATTCTCACACATTTTGATGCACATTTGTGGCCAGATCGCTTCTGAAAAAGAGCTACTGTATATAACTCAGTGGGCCGTACCTGGTAATATAAAAAATAGTTAATAGTCTTTAATAGTAATACTTCGCACAGGTCAGTGCCGGTTGGTGAAGGTTTACCAGGACAAATTGAGAGATCACTCGCCACTGATGTAAACCGTGGCCAGGACTTGAACTCAGGTAACTAATCGATTCTGACATGTGCGTGCTTTTCGATGCACGTAACGCGAGCGTGCGAATCGATTTCAATCAAAGATGCACCATATTGCTACGCTGCAGGATAAAAGGAGACGCACGCACATTCAGCCGCGAAAAAGCACGGAAGCATCACACGACGCGGCGGCGACGAACAAAACTTACCTGTCCGTAAAGTAAGCCCTCGGGCCCCGGCTTAGTCTTGTGGTGCTTGGCGTCCATGCAAATGTTTAGCAGCTCGCTGGCCGTGGCATTCGATGCCCACATGGCCAGGAGGAACACCAACTTAGTCTGTGGCATGACTGGTTCTGTCTCTCCCCGATGCCCCTCCACCGAGCCAGCTGCGGACACTGGCTGAAGAATCTGTTGGCCCTGAAACAAACGCAGGTGGGCTTTTTATAGGGTTTCCGATCAATACATCAAGAGCAAAGATCACACGATAGTAACCAGGTTACCCATAAACTGCTCAGAAGTGCTTTTATATATTTATATATTTCTTGTCTGTAGCAAGGCACTAAAGGTTTGAATATTCACAAAATGTTGAAATTTGAATTGCCTGTCATTTAACTGCCAAGCTCAACTGAATTGGTATAACTTTAAATGCAACTGTGAAGCGCTATGCATATTGTAAAGTTACCCGCAATGATTTTTGCCGTTAAAAAAAGTTTCAAATATTTTGGGGCTCATTTACTTTTAAACCATCCCATAAAAAAAAACTTGCACCTGTGACTTTATTAAATGTGATTGTCAACAAGCTAATATAATTTGTGAAAAAGTTACTAATTATAAGTACTTATAGTGGAAGAAGGTATATTGTTGTTTTACTCATGAGGCACAACGTAGCTATAGAACTTTCAACTCTTCCGTCCTATTTTTTGGCCAATATCTATTCATCTTCCTGCCCCATCTTTTACCGTTTATTTATTTTGTGTTAAGTTTTTTAAATGCTAGGCTGTCCCTTTACATAAATTAAATGTTTTTTTTATATTTCATCCCTTTTTTTTCCGCGGGTCACCATTGTAAAAGCTCATTGAGAACTCACCTGGTTAAAATAAAAGTGATTGTTTTTTCCGCGGGTCACCATTGTAAAAGCTCATTGAGAACTCACCTGGTTAAAATAAAAGTGATTGTAATTAGCATTTGCTGGAATTCAGAGACCTTAGTTTAATTCAGAACCACGGCTAACATCAGTGGCCGATTATATCCAAACCAGTTCTGCCTCCCCCCTCCCTCCTCCACCAACCTACACTGACCAGTGCGCAGACGTATGGACAAAGCAACTTCCATGCCTCATGTGGCTTGAGAAGGCTTTGCATGAACAAATGGCTGTAAATTATTATTATGACTACCCCATGATTAACGTGGATAGGATTAAAGGACCGCTGAGGTAAACAACTTTTACAATCAAGGACAAAGACCCTAGCACATTCCAGAAAAGCTGTAGATGAACCTTAGGAGGGTATTAAATAGGCTTAAACAATACCGATGTGATTAAAGATTAATAAGTCACGGGGTGGAGCAATGGTGCAGTGGTTAACGTGCTGCCCTATGAACTGCGTGACCCTAGTTCAATACTCAGCCACGGTCAACATCAGTGACTCGTAATATCAGAACCGATCCACTTCCCGTTATCCTACCACTCATTCATTCGTAAACCCTCACGGACCAGCCTGGTGGAGTCTTGGTAAAAACAAAAATCCCCAATATGTACCGATGTGTCTTGGCCTTCATCCAACGGCGGATTGAGAATGGCTGAATTAGTTTTTTGTGCCACGTCACCGGCGTTGACCACCAAGGTTGGCGAAAAGCTCGTGACTCTGGTTAGCGTCTAATCCATTCCTTTGAGAGTCAGACATCACGTGGAGATGGTGCCATTAAATGGAACGTGATACTGTTGAGAAATTAAAGAACAATGAATGGTGCTATGCTTGTAAAACAGCAGACCCTTGAGGCAATCTGGACCCCGACCAAGTCACGAGCTGCTATTGCACGAAACTATTTCGAGGTCTGTACTAAAATCTAAACCTTCGAGGAATAAACAGCCGCACTGATGAGCGTGGAGATGCGAGCGTGATCACGCAACGCTCACGTCTGACGCAGGCGTCGGGAGGCATTTATCCAGCAGTGGATTGACAAAAGGAGGCTGTAAAGATGTCTCAGAAGCACTTTCAAACTCATGGTCAGAGGTTTAATAATATTATAATAATTTACATTTGTAAGGGGCGTTTCATCCAAGGATCCTAATGCGCCATAAATGTATTTCTGTGTGTAGCTGGAGCTGTGTTTATAAACTTGATCTGTGTGTTAGAAAATCGAACCATTCAGTCAAGAGCAGCAGCTAAGGTGGTGTTTTAAACCTGTTACGTTTTAAATACCTTATGAAACAAAACCCATAGGTACGTATTAATTCCACCTGAAACCATCAGTCTGTAACCAAATCACCTGGTACGTGCCCGATCTCATCAAATCTTGGAAGCTAAGCAGGCTTCAGCCTGGATGAGTTGGATGTTTGTTGTGCACTGCTTGCTCGCAGCTCAAGCGAAGCAGTTCATGGATCTGTCATGGCTTTCGATCCGCTGACCTCGCCAAATGTTGATTTAAACTTTGAATGAAACACCCACGCGGTGCTTTGCCGGGTCCAAAAATTGCACAATGGGAGGTTTTGTTGATTTCCAGTTTTTTTTTTTGGGGGGGGGGGTTTACTAATGTCCAGACAAACAGCCAAACCAACCCCATGGTGACCATCCGCCTTCGGCAGTTCTGGCCGTCCTGAGTTTTCTGGCACTCATCCCGCATACAGTAACAAATCGATGAGTCGCTCAAATATATATATGCGAGATTTAACAACCCTGTCGTGACATTTAGCCTTCAAAGGATATCAAAGGATCAATGATTAACAAGCGATAGCAGCAGAACGCCAACTGCGCCGGGTGCAAGATGGGCCACTGGATTGGACTGCAATAAACTTACAGATCTCGCTTCCCTTGTGCACAATAAGCCATTCCGTCTCGCTGGGCGTCAATCAACTTTCAAAACTGATACGTTCAGAAATATCTTATCGGTTTTGAAGACGTACATATCTTACCAGTTTTGATAAGCTATTCAAGTAGTCGGTTTTGATAAGATATGTAGGCCAGAATGTATTACAAAGGGGTCCCAACAAAGTAGCATCGCTGTAGGCTACATTGCGGGCAGCGACATCCAATGTTGTACTGCACTGCTATGCCCCCACCCCCACGCTTCAATAACAACCCGCAACTAAACATTGTGCTTAAAGCAGGCATGTCCAAAGTCCGGCCCGCGGGCCAATCACGGCCCGCGGGCAGATTTCATACGACCCGCAGCTTCGTCCTTATAACGTGTTAGTTATGGCTCGCCAGCTGTCAGAATAAATACATCATAAAACTCATGGAAATTTAAGGTATTCTATACAGTTTGTTCAATGTTATCAGACTGAATGAAAGGCAGAATTGCGTTTGTAGAGTTGTTCACGTCTGCCTGAGTGGCTTATATTTGGTTACATTGTCATTTGAAAAATAAAGGTAATTGTGACAATGAAATTTTTTTTATAACAGTGTGTATTTACAAGTAACTTTTGTGGTTAAAACAAATTCAGAAGGAACGATTGGCCCCCGGGCATCCTCACTTTATTAAATGTGGCCCTCTTTGCAAAAAGTTTGGACACCCCTGGCTTAAAGTAACGGTTAAACCAGCGGTCGGGAACCTATGGCTCGCGAGCCATATATGGCTCTTCCGGTGACGGCATATGGCTCCCAGACAATTTTGAGTTGAAAAATAAATAAATAAACTTGTAATATTGCTTAATAATACTGTGTCATTTGAAAGTAAACAGAAATTAGTTTTGAAGATACATTTCACGGGTCACGGGTCCCGTGACCAGAAGTCGCATTAAAAGTAAGACATATTTAATTTATTATACGTTAAAAATACTATATGGCTCTCAATGAAATATATTTAGAAATATTTGGCTTTTATGGCTCTCCCAGTCAAAAAGGTTCCCGACCCCTGGGTTAAACAATCCCACGACACGCAAACGAGGTGCGGTACCATCATTGCTCATAGTCATCAATTATTAGAAACGCGTGGGCGACAGCTAACGATGCACAGCAAATGCCCACGTGCGTTAAGGGGCCGCCCATAAATGACGTCACACACCTAGGGGGGGCAGCGGGGTCAGACATTTGTGACGATGTGTTCCAAGGGAGGGAGGGGGGGTTTGAAAAATCAGACGTCACATCAAAATGCGCAACTTTAAATAAATATTAGTTAAATAGAATTGTTATAACACTAATTTTGATTCATTTTCATTATTAACTATTTGATTATTTAAATTGACTAAGGTCACCATTTATTTATTCCATGAAGGAGCATTTTGCTTCTCCATGGGAGAATGGAGAAGCATCATTTTTGTATTTTTTTATGATTGTTATTAAACATTTTGATACTAATGATTCTACCAGGGCTTTTCATTCTGTGAAATGAATGTGATTGTTATAATTGTACTCTCCATTTTGCTTCGTTCTACTACAAAGTTTCAAGTATTTTTTTAAAGTTATAATTACTTTTAATATTTTATATTTATAAGAGAATTCCAATTTAATATTCTGAACATCTGCAGTTTTAGTTAGACGTTGAATATTTTCAAGTGCATTTTATGCAAAATTTCAGCTTTACAACGCCTCCTTTTAATAATTTTCTCCTACAAAATCAGAGTGCAGCGCCACATTAAAAACGCACTACAATGACAATAGTTTAAAGTGATTTGAAGCATGTTTATTTAAAATTTTAAAAAATATTGTTTTTTTGGGGGGGGGGCAGAGCTTTGTGACGTCATATTTGAAGGGGGTCTGACTTTGTGATGCCGTGTGACTGAAGGAGGGAGGGGGGTCAAAAATCGGCCAAAATCGCGTGACGTCATTTATGGACGGCCCCTAATTCCATCAGTCCGGTCAATTCAACTCGCTTCGCTTAATATACCGCCCATGTACTAATACGACAACAACAACGAACCACAATCGTATTACACAATCATTCATCTTAGTGGGGGTTTATTTTGTCTAGACATAACGGATGTAGGTACTGCTGCATTCATCTGCGTGCGGAGAACCACGGGCTTGGTAAAGCTCATAAGGGGCCGTCCATAAATGACGTCACGCGATTTTGGACGATTTTCGACCCCCCCCCCCTCAAATATGACGTCACAAAGCTCTGCCCCCCCCCCCCCCAAAAAAAAACCCATATTTCCATCTTGAAAATAAAACATGGTTCAAATCGCTTTAAACTATTGTCATTGTAGTGCGTATTTAATGTGATGTTGTAGGAGTGTTGTTATAACAATTAGTGTTGTTATAACAATTCTGTATTTATTTAAAGTTGCGCATTTTGATGTGACGTCACATTTCTCAAACAACCCCCCCCCCTCGTCACACGTGGTCACAAATGCCTGACCCCTCCCCCCCCCTAGGTGCGTGACGTCATTTATGGACGACCCTTTACACAAGCATTACTCTTAGTGGGGGTTAATTTTTTTATATGGACATAACGCATGTAGGTACTGCTAGCTTAATGGACATGACAACTGTTGCATTGTAGCCCATGCGAAAGTCGCAAGCAACCGCGCACTATACCAGGGGTCGGGAACCTTTTGACTGGGAGAGCCATAAAAGCCAAATATTTCTAAATATATTGCATTGAGAGCCATATAGTATTTTTAACGTATAATAAATTAAATATGTCTTACTTTTATGCGACTTCTGGTGCTGCATGGTTTTGCTGATGGCCTTGTAGTAGTCTGGTTCATACGACGTGGTGAGGTTGAGCTTCGTGCAGGCGTGACCCGTGAAATTTATCTTCAAAACTAATTTCTGTTTACTTTAAAATGACACACTATTATTAAGCAATATCACAAGTATTTTAAAATCAGTTCCAAACTGATTTTTGTATTTTTTTTTCAACTCAAAATTGTCTGGGAGCCATATGCCGTCACCACAAGAGCCATAGGTTCTTGACCGCTGCACTATACACACGCACGCCACTGCAATCTTCCACGCTTCATTGGTGTAAAGTACTATACACTATAACACACACACACGCAAAGTCTCCACAAATGCTACAGGTCAATACATACAATTCAGTACTTACGTGACGCTGAGCTGTAAACGGCACATACATAGCATACACGTATTATCTAAATATACAGAGTATATGCTTATGCGGAGTGTACACCGCATACATACGTGTCTATTAGAACGTCTATTTCCTGAGAGTCTATGGCACATGCACGTGTACTGTATGTACTGTATGTACTGCGTGTACTGTGCGTACTGTATGAAATGTGCGCAATGTTAACTTATGTACTGTATATATGTCATGTGTATGAACCGTGTGTACCGCGTGTATGTACAGTATATATGTGATGTGCATATGTAATCTGTATGTACTGCATGTACTGTGTATATGTAATCTATGTACTGTGTGTATGTACGGTGTGTACTGCATTACTGTATGTACTATGTAAACGATATGTACTGCATGCACAATGTATATGTAATGTATGTACTGTGTGAACGTACAGTGTGTACTGCATTACTGTATGTACTATGTATATGTAATGTATGTATATGTAATGTATGTACTGTGTACGTACGGTGTACTGCATTACTGTATGTACTATGTATATGTAATGTATATGTAATGTATGTACTGTGTGTACGTACGGTGTGTACTGCATTACTGTATGTACTATGTAATGTATGTACTATGTAATGTATGTACTGTGTGTACGTACGGTGTGTACTGCATTACTGTACAAACTGTATGTACCGCATGCACAATGTATATGTAATCTATGTACTGTGTGTATGTTTATTGCCCGTACACGTTGAGGTTGTGGAGCAGCAGCGGCAGCAGCACCACCACCACCCACGTGGTCCGTGTCCAGACGCACGCTGCCCCCACGTGGTCGCGCTTCCGGGTCACGCCTGATGCAAAAGGACGCGTCCCAGAGCACGTGCTGAGAGCAAAGCCGCCCGTCACGTCTCACGCGTGCGGCCGTGAGACACACACGAGCTATCCTCTCACGCTGGCACAACGTGTTGTAACATCGTGCAGTTTCGCGTGTGTAATGTGTGTGTGTGAAAATTCAGTGGGGGGGGGGGGGGACGTTGGGCAAGGATATTTGTGTATTCAGTGTGGCTATTACATCATTCCTCATCATACACACAACCCAGTTTGCTGGCCTCACGCTGATGGTAGCGATCTTTTCTGGAAGTCTTTGCTGTTTTTTTCCTGGATGTTTCTGTTGCGCGAAGTCACTTTAAGATGTTTCTTATTCATGTTTTTTTTTGTTGCGGTTGCACCCAATTCAAGAGCCGCATGGCTCACAGGGCTATGCTTAATAAATGAAACTGAACTCACGCCACTCGGTGGTCGCTCTCACTCATTGCACGTCCGGCGTTCCCGTGCACCCGTTACAACATCGAGTGTCGCACACAGGGCACACGCCTGCCACGTCTCACGCATCAAACCGCGAGACTCACGCAGGCACAACGTAACAGATTATTTTCTGTCACGCAATTTCACGTGTGAGACAAAAAAAAAATTTGGGGGGAAGGGTGGGTTCTTCTTTGGGGGAAGGGTGGGTTTTTCCGTTTGATATGTCAGTACACCATCCCATCCGTTTAACACGTAGGCTTTCGCGACCAATATTATTCATAATCAACGTTTTTGGGTTAGATCGCGAGAGCAGAGCCTCACCATTCTGGCGAATTGCCCGTTGATGTTGGATGCAATTACCAGCGAAACGTCGTACGACTCAAAATTTTAAAATGTTGTGGTTTCACGCTTCAACACACTGGTGGGCTAAAGCAGTGAACTATTTGTCTTTTGTCAACGTGACACTTTTTTGCTGATTGGCCGTGTCGGGTGGTGGAGGGTTACGACACATTTATAAATAACGCGATCTAACCCCAAAACGTTGATTATGAAACATCCCATCTCTCTGTAGGTCTCACGCCGATTTCCAGCAAACGCACGCCACTCGCTGGCTGCTCTTAAGCATTGCATGTCGAGAGATGTGAACAGTCGTAATAGTGATTTAAAGCTTTCGTGACTGCAGGGATTCATATTCTTGGTTCTTTCGGTAAAGTCACGTAGAAGGGAAATAATAAAATAATATAAATATAAAACAATAAAAATTCTCACGACGTTTCGACTGCAACACAAGCAATCATCATCAGAAGAAAATTTTCTTGCTGTTGATTTCACACCTGATGATGATTGCTTGTGTTGCAGTCGAAACATCGTGAGAATTAATATTTTTTATATTATTTTATTATTTCCCTTCTACGTGACTTTACCGAAATAACCAAGAATATAGTCGTAATAGTGCCATGTAAATTGTTTGCTGCATGTAAATCCAATTATTACGGTACGATACGTCCTTCCTAAGTCATACCGGTTACCCGTATTCTTGTATAGAGGAATTTAGTTAAAAAAAACATTGTTTTTGTGTTTCTCCCTTCTGATGGAACTTTGTAGGATGAACGTTGAGATTTATCAGGGGCACGAGGTGATCAATAAGGTCTGTATTGGTCTGTAATAAGGTAGGGCACTGAGAATGGGTTGACAGATTTGCTAAGTATTCTCAGACAACCCCTATGACGGACACGGAGCTGGAGAGGCCATTCTGCGGGGGATTGATAACTTTAAAAACACACACACACACCCTATGTATGGACTGGTCCTCATCTTGGGAATGTGGAATGTCCACCACTGTCTCAGAACAATAAACAAGACTACAGCTTCACGTGCTAACTCGAAACTTTGCATATATATACAGCAATGCTTGTGCCTTTGCTAAGTTAGAAGTACACCATCTGGATGAAACTACAGGACTCCAGGGAAATGCAAAAATGTCCGTTTTTATTCTCACTTTTTACGAGAATGCTGTTGCTGTGATTTTCCTGTTTCACAACTATTCTTGTATAGGCTACACAATCAATGCTATTGAAAGTTTAAAAAAAATGCGCCTTGGCCTTTCCTTATTATTTCTGTGTTCATGTACGTTATATACCGATGTATTATTTAACTACTATATCTGTTTTCTTAACGGTGAATGTGCATGTTACATAATAGTTCGGACATGTATTTTCGTTTTAATCATTAACCCACTTTACAAAAAAAAATCCTCCACTCTCTAGGTATACAGTGACCATGGAATGTCAGACATCTCTGCATGACCCCATCCACCGCTATGGGTCACACTCCAGGAGAATGTAAAAATAAAAGTTTCACGGGAAATCTCCCTGCCAGTGATGACAGAGTAAAGATTCCAACATTTCTGGTGAGCTCCACCAGGATACGTGTGAGCTAGCAGCCCCCTCTACATCTCATCAGCCAACTTTTGCATAGCCCTGCCCACTCAACCACCAGAACCTTATTTGGCCTTCTCTTGAGTCATGCCAGACATGTAAACCAGGGTCAAAATTCTGACTTTTTCCAAGTTTTTCAGGACACCGAGAACCTGGTAATGAAACCGGGACTGTCCTGACAAAACTGGAATGTTTGGTGGCTTTACGGTTATTATGCTTGTCTGTCCAGGAAGGCCTAACTTAATCTCAAGGCTTTTTTTCAGGAGGGTCCTGCCAAGTTTTTTTTCAGTAGAGGGGGATATTACTATGTATAATCTCAAGTAAGTATTTTTTTGCGAGAAATGTTTGAGCATTGGAAGGAAACCAGAGAACCAGGAGGAAACCCATGTAGAACAGGGGGAGAACATACACACTCCACGCAGAAAGACGGGAATGAAACTTAAGTACTTTTTGCTGTTGAGACACAAGTGTTACCAATGCACCACCCTGGCACCCATTACACCATAGTCTTGCAACCGATGAGTGGTCGCAATAATAATATACCACATTTGGTATTCCTACCGTTTTTATAGCGCAGGGCTATCATGAGGATGCTATGTTCTACAGAGGGATATTGTCTGCGAATAGGGAGTCATGTTGCTATATGTAACCCAGTTGAGAATTTGGAATGTATACATAACACCAACTTACCTGTCTATAGTGTTGGCAAATACTGTATATTATAGCCCAAGGATATGAAATTAACATGGCAATGCGTCACGATGTTAGTCACCAATATGCCACCTGAACATCTCGGAGGCATGTCTCGACTTGCTGACCAAGCCATGCGTCCTGTTATTTTGGCACGTCTAGTTATTCATAAGCATCACCATCACCACCACCATCATGAAAGCTGATCAAATTTTTATTTCATGTGGATCTGTCATTATCATGACTGTATCACGAGTCATTATCATGATGTGTATGTGTCGTCATTATTACTGTCAATTAGCATCAGTATCTTCATCACTTCATCATCTCCAACAGCTGCTATCTATTCAGTCACGTACATATATTAGTAGTGATCCCGTGACTTTCAGCCGTGTACCAGTTTCATCATCTTTATAGATCAGCAGCACTGCTTCGTGTGAGCACCCAGGTCCCTTGCAAATTAGACTACCCTGGTCTTGAGTTATCACCTTATAAGTTTCAGAGGTCTGTCCACAAGTGGATTTGTTCGTAAGTCCAACTTTACACCTGTCGATTCCAAACATGTTGTACGGCTTCTACACTAAACACGGGGAATGGCTTTCAAAGATGTATAATCTCCTCTAGATGTAGATGCCACTGGCTGTTCCTGTTCCACAGATGTAGATGCCACTGGCTGTTCCTGTTCCACAGATGTAGATGCCACTGGCTGTTCCTGTTCCACAGATGTAGATGCCACTGGCTGTTCCTGTTCCACAGATGTAGATGCCACTGGCTGTTCCTGTTCCACAGATGTAGATGCCACTGGCTGTTCCTGTTCCACAGATGTAGATGCCACTGGCTGTTCCTGTTCCACAGATGTAGATGCCACTCCCTCCATCGATTGCGCTGCGGTTGAACTTACGACTCTCCGTCCGAACAGGCAAACTGGGCATACGGACAGGTTTGTTCGTATCTCTAAAAGTTCATAAGTCGAGTGTTCGTAAGTAGATGAGTCCATTTACATAATTATTCAGAGGACGTGCTATGCAGAAGGGCCATTTAAAATTGTTTCCCTTTTAAGGCCACAGTGTTATTGACGAATGTGTTAAGTTGGTTTGTTAATTTGTGTTTCTGTACCGCTGCCAACGCAGTGGCATCACCGAATAAATAATAAATACACATTTGACAGCTTTATTCAAATCGCTTAAGTCTCTCCTATCTCATGATTGTTTCCTGTTATTACAAAGCAACCCAGCAGAGGGCTTTACTGGTACAAGTCACCGCGGGCCCCATTGTGTTAGAGTTCATTTCACACTGCCATGGCTGGCATTCGTGGCGAGTGATATTTTATCTGGTCAGGGACAACCACGCCCCCCCCTCCCCCACCTTTTTCACCAACATTGCACTGACAAGCGTGGTGAAGTATGGTCAAACAACCCCAGCGTGGGGAGATCTTCATCCAGCAGTGAATTGCCAAATGGTTGTACTGTACATAATAACCAAGCAGCATTGATTTAACAGGCACACCTCTACTGATGAGACTATGAAGGTGAAATTGGTCCAGATTTGACATTCCTAAACAAATATTAATGATCTGATGGACAATGCACTACTTTACAGTTGGGTTCCGGATAAATGTAATAAATATGAGCGAAGCAGAGGGCATGTACAAAAATATTCACGGAACAATTCTCTAAACTATTTGAATTGTCTTCCAGAGTAACAAAACTTCTGTCTGCCAGCTACTGCAGGTGGACCGAAGTAAGAATGATGACATAAATAAGCAGACAAGGGCAGGTTGGAGTCCTTTTGGAAAGCTGAACTTTACAATGAGAAGTTACATACCGATGTGCCCACATAAGTACACAAGGCATTATAATACCGAAATCAGTGCGTACTACCCATGAGATGTGCTAGAAAACATGGTTATTATTAACATAAAAACTGAACAGTGCGTAAAGAAGCACACATATGCTTCCTGGAATTACATCGAGAGCCAAAACGAGGAATTAGAATACCAAAATCAGTGCATACTACCTGCTATGAGATATACTCATAAACACCATCATTAGCAACAAGACTGAACAGGGCGTAAAGTAGCATAGATCTTTCTAGATTTGAAGCTTTCGTGACTGCAAGGATTCATATTCTTAGGTTTTTTCGGTAAAGTCACGTAGGTAAAAAATTAAAATCAATAAAAGTAAAATAAAAATAAAATAAAAATCACGTTTCGGAGGCAACACAAGCTTCCGTCTTCAGGTGGAACAGTCACAGCACGATAGCTGTATCAAGTGAGAGAAATTCCAAGAAACCCGTATTTTTAAGTACTTTTATTAATTTAATTTTTTTTTATCTACGTAGCATAGATGTGTTTCCTGGAATTACATCTAGAGACAAAAAGATGAAAAACACGTGGATTAGAGGGCATGGGAACGTCAATTACAAGTCAAACTTTTAAAAAAGTGGGCTTGGGCAGGACATGTCACGGCTGGAAAGATGATGGCAGATGGCCAAGAAAAATAAGAGTGGCAGCCAAGAAATTGAAATCGTCTGAGAGCACTTAAACCTAGGAGATGGAGCGATGAAAAGAGCTCCTGTGACGGTGCAAGGATGGAATGTTACATCGCAGCATCGAGAGAGGTGGCCGGAGCACGGGAAGGCATTCTCCCAACATTGGATCGTACATGGTTGTTGATGACAATGAATTTTGTGAAGAGCCAGAGAGTACTGTACAACATCAAAAGTGGCTTTTCGTAACCAATACGATTCATATTTTATTCAAGTCTAGAATCGATTAATATTTGTTGGGTTAGGCCACGCGATAGTTTCATGACAACTTTATTGACATTAACCCTCGCATCACCCAACAACTGGATTGTCACTTTGCAAACAAATTTGTCACGAAAGTCTTAAGCCATCGGTGAGAAGCGTTATTGGTCAGGAGTTGATCAATACTGTACATTGATTGGCACGTTTGAATAATAATTTGTGTGAATCCTGTCGGGTGGTGGAGGGTTATTGACAAGCAATTTGTGCTGCTGCGTTGGCAGTGGCGCACACGCAGTTAACAAAAAAACAACGTCAACATGCTACAAGGGCCGTTGCCCGAAACGTCGCTTATCATGTATTTTTGTTCTTCTTTTTCGACCACCGTGTCATCGACAAATGCTGTGAAATTGTTGCCCGACCCAATAAAACAAATATTGGGTCGAACAACACCAGTACGTGCATCCGTCACATCCGTGCGAGAAATTTGTGAATCGAAATCGTCATTGATGGTGCAAGCGGAAAAATTAAATCAACCCCAGCAGCGTTCCGCGTCGCTTAGGCAATCGGCAACAACATGGGGGGCGTGTCGCTGTGCGTTGGGGGCGTGTCTCTGTGCGTTGGGGGCGTGTCGCTGTGTGTTGGGGGCGTGTTGCTGAGCGTTGGGGGCGTGTCGCTGTGCGTTGGGGGCGTGTCGCTGTGTGTTGGGGGCGTGTCGCTGAGCGTTGGGAACGTGTCGCTGTGTGTTGGGAGCGTGTCGCTGTGCGTTGGGGGCGTGTCGCTGTGTGTTGGGGGCGTGTCGCTGTGTGTTGGGGGCGTGTCGCTGTGCGTTGGGGGCGTGTCGCTGTGCGTTAAGAGCGACGTGTGCGTCGTGACGTCACCACGCACGGACGTCACGGCGCGCGCTGACGTCACGGTTCGAGGCGCGCCACTGATTTAGGGTGGAGGATGAGGCGCTGCTTTGGCGGCGGCGGCGGCTTCGGAGGAGTCGGGAGGTCTGTGCGATAAAAAGTTTTCTACGACCGCCGCACATTGTCGCCGCGCCAATTTCTGTCGCCGCAACTGGAATTTTTCTGTACGCACACAAATACGGACGAGCACTTCGCTCTGCGTGATTACTAACTAACCCAAGCGCGCTAGTTAGTTTGCTCGCCATGGTGGACGTGGTGGTGATGACGGGGGAGGAGACGGAGGATGATGCCTCGACGACGATGACGACGGTGATGGTGGTGAACGGCAACAGCGTCGACGGTGATGTCGACGGTGACGACGGTGACCACGGCGGCCGTCGGCAGCGGCTTGCGGCATCTGCGCAGCGCAGAGGAGACTCACCCGAAGTAGCCCAACTGCAGGAGCTCGTGAAGAAACTCGAGCGGCAGAACGAGCAGCTGCGTCGGGCGAGAAGGACGGGCGCGAAAAGGCGGCAGATGAGCGACGATCACCGCCAACTCCTCGACTTCCAGCTCATCCACCAGCAGCGACAACCAAATGCTGAAGAGCACAGAGGTTGGATGGACCCCGCCGCCGCCGCCGGGTTAACGTCTCCGTTGCTAGGGCCGCCGTGTCGTGGTTGCGCGGACTTTCAGCCACTGTCACCCACGTCGCCGGTGTCGCCGATGTCCTCGGGCCCCCAAAGTCCCTCTTCAGATCTCCAGACCACCGTGATGCCTGATGCAGGGTCGGGACGTCTCCACCACCGTCATCACCACCAGCGTCACCACCGTCGACACCGTCAGCAACAGCTACAACAACAACAATTTGGGCCTTCGGACCATTATCCCGTGTCTTCAAACTTTCAGGTGGCCTCGGATCTGCAGTTGTCTTCGGATCTTCATCCCATTTCGCCGGATCTCCATGTGCCCTCAGATCGCCAAGTGACCCCGAATCTGCATCCCATGTCCTTGGACCTTCATCCCATGCCCTCGCACCCCCACGTGTCTTTGCGCCATCATTCAGTTCCCACTGATCTTCGTGTGTCCTCAGACCTCCAGGTTTCTTCTCACCGACAAGTCCATGCCGTCTCGTCGGATGGCCTCGCCACTTTCGTAGACCCACAGCCTCCAAGTTCAGTTCGAGTGGAGGAGACCTTGGTGGGGCCGGGAGGACACCGAGACGGAACCCTTAATACCGTGGCCTTAGTTGATCTTGAAGAGTGCGCACGCTGGCAAGATGAGAGCTGGCAAGTGCAAATTGCTCGTCGCTTCTGGCTGCTTCACTCGTGTAACAACATGGTCATCCAGTAGTTTTCGTTTTAAAGTTACACTGTGTAACACTATACTGTATCTTCTACGTGACTTTACCGAAAGAACCAAGAATATGAATCCCTGCAGTCACGAAAGCTTTAAATCGAAATACAGTATAGTTTCGATTTAAAGCTTTCGTGACTGCAGGGATTCGTATTCTTGGTTCTTTCGGTAAAGTCACGTAGAAGGGAAATAATAAAATAATATAAATATAAAACAATAAAAATTCTCACGACGTTTCGACTGGTGTGAAATCTGATGATTGCTTGTGTCGCAGTCGAAACGTGAGAATTTTTATTGTTTTATATTTATTTTATTATTTCCCTTCTACGTGACTTTACCGAAAGAAACAAGCATACTATACTGTATTGTTATGCATGTGTTATTTTTTTTACTGTACTTTCTGTAAGGTTACCTCGTCCACTCAGAACTTCTGTGAATCTTGGATTTAGAACGAGGTTTCATCTTCACCAGATTTACATTTCTTGGTTTGCCTGTACTTTGCTGACCCATGCCTGTCTCCCGTGCGCTTCGCTCCTGCGAAATTATCCGACTCAACTTTTACGCGGTACATTTTCAGGCTAACAATAACACGTGTAGCAGTTTAATAATAATGAAAACATGTCTAAGCTGCTTAGGTATAGCTGTTTTTCTTACTCGGGAATGTGACCATAAAAGCATCTGTTAATTATTAACAGAGCCCATTTTCCACAGAGATAATTTTAGGTTAAGTGAGCTAGTATATATAAGCCTTGGTGCTATCATTAAGTAATATCAGTACCATCAATGATGCAAAGTTTATCAAGTAATTTCCTTCAACCTGCACTAATCTGGGGTCATTAGTGCACTTTTTACATCAATAGCTATTCTTTTTTTCTCATCCACTTAGCCGTTGGCACTCTCCCCTCCGTCATCCTTTCAGGCCTTTTTGAGTTTGCAGAATGCATTAGCTGGTTTGTTTAATGCTGCCAGGGAAAGAATAAATTGTTTAGTTTTTATGTCTCCAGATAACCTTCCAGCGCCCACCACAATCCCACCCCAAGCTCATTGATTTCCCCCCCCACTTCCCCTGGGGTGCGCTCCTTCCTGCCCGCAGGCTGTACACGTCTTCTCGCAAATGCAGCACCTCTGACGGGACGCCGCCGAGCTGGTACGAGTGGAGCCGTCAAGTCCTGGACAACCCGAGCCCCGAGATGGAGGCGGCTCGCCGCTCCCTCATGTCGCGCCTCAGCAGCACAATGCTTGGTATGGGGTGCAGCACTTACCCACTTGGCCCGCAGTCGAGCAACCCTCGAACTAAGGGCAAGGAGATGACTATGGTCGTGTGGTATGAGTCTTTAGTCTTAAGATTCATATCACACCGTCATACAGACTCGGCTATATATTCTTCTTTAATATGGATTAATAGCAGATGATCAAGAAGAAGACTTGCCTGTATATTACAGAAATACATTTCATAGCCTCTAGGTTTAAGGTCGCAGAACCGTGGCTGAAGTTATTATAGGGATCCCTTGCAGATTTAAAGAGCAAGAAGATGCAGGAGCTGCTGCGACGTGAATATGTAAGTATTCTGGGTTGTCTGGTGATTATAAATAGACTCAATTAAAAATAACATTCTTTTTATAACCCCTAAATTAAGGTGGCAAGTGCCATTGGTCAAATAAATTTAAGAGGGCACCTGCAGCAATGAGCAAGGGGACACGGAGGGTAGTGCGCCAAGAATCTGTAGTCGACAGGCTTGGCTGGTGATTAAAGACGGACTATAGATGTCGGTTTAATCTGCCATGACTCAAATAATCTTCAGGGGTACCTGCCTGTGATCAAATTTACTCCGCCACCTCTACCCGCAGCACTCATAAGATTTTCAACCCTGCTTACTCTGCTCTTCCCCTATAGTCGGTGTTCTTAGCTTTAAGAAAAAGCGTATTGACAGATGATACGAGCATATCGTTTTCTTGCATAATGTCATTATCAATCTCTTAAGCATGTCAATCAAGTGAAATGTCCTGTTGCAAATATGGCCAAGAATCAATGTGAATTTTGATATCAGCACTGGGATACCACTTTAGTGTGCTGTATGGTTTTGAGATTCGTTTAGCACATTTGGGACCCACTCTTAGCCACATAAGGGGAATTGCAGGATATATGATAGTTTAAAACGGTAGCAGGACTGTGGGGTGGGTAGCGTGGTGATGCAGTGGTTAGTGCATTGTGCTACAAGCCAGGGAACCTAGATTTGATTTCCAGCCAAAGCTGACTTCAGTGGAAAGGGATACCTGAAATAGTACTGGGCCTTCCCTTCACCATTCGCACTCACCTACGTGGGGAAATTTGGTCACATAACCCACGTAACTGACACGGCATAGGATGACCTTTCTTCCAGCAGTGGATTGACAAAGGACTCTCAACCATATAAACATGGCTGTATGTTTGCACACATTATATACACATCACACAATTTCCCATTTGGTTATCCCGCAATTTCACCTTATTTTACATTTCACCCACAATATACAGTGCCTTTTATATGGTACAAAACTGCCAGTGTGGCACAGAAGGGAACACTGGTGAATAGATATAGTGGCCATCACTGCTATAGCATGATCATAAAAGGCAGTGTTTTGTGCTGGCACAAACACGCGACACAAAACTCTTGTTTCAGCCAAATGGTCAAAGGGGGCCACGGGACGCGAGCAGTTTCTGGAATTTGGCAGCCGTAGTGGAAGCGCAGTAGAGCCCCATTGTGCCTTGACCGATTAGGTCCGTGGCCCCGTCCCATGTTCTTGCTGTCCTGTAGGCAGTTCCACAGTGTTCCTTTTATGTACAGCTTGGCCTAAGCTGTGGAAGGTCAGTGACAGCAGTTATACATGCTACTTGTGGCACTGCGTGATTGAAAGTCATAACTATGCTTGCACGATACAGCGATAACGTTTTTCACGATATGGCAGATATGATATAAAATTTCATAATGATGATTATTGCCGTATCAATATCCCACTACTTTGTAATTGTAATTTTAGTTTTTATTCCATAATATGTATGCTTTTCTGCATTTCCAGGACACACAGAAATTACTTAAGTTATTTAACTGCAGTTCAGTACAACCTGCCATAAGTCTGCTAAACGTTGGAAAGTTACAATCTATAATGCTTACAGGGCAGTGCCGTCAGCCATGCAAGGAACAGTTGAGTAGTTAATTCAATTATTGAGATGACGATATCACGTTAACTTTCATGCTGTCAATGACTCCAGAAAACATTTTACAAGGTGGTCATTAAATGGATATCTGTTATTTACAACTTGAATAGTTTATTTTGTGATTTCATATTTTTTCAATCGCAAAATATTTAAGAAACACGATGAGCAACGGTAATCAGGATTTAGCAATACTTAACAAAACAGAAAATATAATTATTGTGGATCTTATCATGTACGATGAACTATTATATCGCGGTAGCCCTAGTAATAACCTTGTATGTTTATGAAGATATGTTAATACCAACTTTTCAGTGATTGGCAGATGTGGGTACATAGCATCTTGCACAGCTTTGAAGTTCTTGCATGCAGCGTTAATATTTCCATGAAATCAACATCTACCTCGTTCATGCAGCAACTGAAGCTGAATGCATTCAATTTGATCGACTTTCGTGTCTGGTGAAATCACCCTGAAATCACCCTGAATGCACCTGATCATGTCAAAACGTGGAAACTAATCAGAGTTCAGCTTGATTAGTACTTGAATTGGAGACTCCCTGGGAATACCAGGTGTTGTAGGGTTGGGCTTCATGTTGACCAGGAGATGGCAGTGCAAAAATGAGTACACCAGTCAATCGGCAGGTCACCTGTGGTGGGGTAAAGTGGGTACTGCCACCTTTTCCAAGATGTCTGGCCAGTGTGAAAGAGTAGGCCAAATCTCCTCTAGAGGGGCTCCCTAGAGCTCCCTCTAGTGGAGGCCCTTCCCCCAGAAGTGGCATGAGCAAGCAATTGTAGAGCTGCATCTTTTTTTACTTGTCTGAGCTATGGCTACGAGCTTGGGCAGGCTCTGACAAGTTTGGTGGTCATTCATATTAATTTCGCGTGCGCATTTGTGCCAAGCCAGGCCACAGATGCATCATTTGCAGAATGCAGTGTCCTCAAACCCGCTAAGCTTGGTTAGCGGACAGTTCTTAAACAATGCGTAATCCTCTTGTCTTGTACCACAGCTGCAGTTCAGGTTGTCGTATCGGCCCCACCTGTGCAGACTTGATGCACACAGGCCTTGGCCAGTTCAGAACCTGTTGAGCAGGGCCCAGTCACGGTGGGCGGATCGTAGCATCGGTCCACCACGGGGAATTGGTTCCTTGTTGATGATGAGCCACTCCTCACACCACAATGACTCTGCTGACACATCCTTGCATGGCATATTGGCCCACAGTGGGTGCCGTGATGACAGACGGACAGTAGGCGGGCAAAAGATGTTTGACGTCAGCGGAAGACTTAGGTTGGCGCAAATCTTCTCCAGTAGCTCGCCAGTGGCATTCTCCGGACGGATGTGTGAATTTGCTCAGAACTGGAATCCAATAGAGTAGTCTCGTCGAAGAGCTGCTGAGATGATGAGCATTATCTAATGTAAATTCCTGTCAACAAGCTTTGTGTGCGAGTGCACACCAAGGTTGTAATTTCTATAATGGCTAATAAGTGTCTGAAGCCACATAGACACTACAAACTATTACATGATATATAATTGCCCGAAAAAAAACCTACTCCTTATAAATGTTGCCTTGGCGTCTGTGCGTGCAACATTATTTGAAAATCCTATTATCTGAAATATTTTACCGGGTGTGCAGGGTGGTGCATGACCCTTATCCAGTACATTGGAAGCAGGGGTCAGTGCATCCTATAGATTTTGTAAACTCTAAAACCTGCTGAGCTGTGTGATAAGATGGCAGTAGAGATATGTTTGTGAACCTGTTGGTGTAAATCTTTCAGCTTCATTCCCTTAGTTGTGTGGGTTTTCTTTGGGTACTCTGGTTTGTTCTGACATGCGAAAACGCTTCTCATAAAGGAATGGGCCAAATATTTCAATGCAGGACTCTCCTGAAAATCCACAAGTCTTGATACACCTTGAGGCTTTCACAGCTACGTACATGGAATCCTACACATGGTGTGTGATTAGTCAAACAATACAAATGTGTCCAGTGGAGTCTTAAGTACTAAACCTGGTGTTTACAAATGGCTATACATAATGTATTGTTTGTAATCGTGTCTTTTGGTTCGACCAGTTTGTGTCTACTGTACGACACACGTACAAAAGGGGAGTGACACGCGATACGCCCAACTCGGATTCATCAGCAACGGGACACTCATAGATTTCCTGCAGGGGATTTAGCTAAATCGCAGGCTACCTGCCAAGCCCATACACCTGCATTTCAAAACCCTACAGCCATATCACAAGCGCTCAGACAGGAACCGGCACGATCAGTTTGCAAGTTCAGGGATTTTTAGGCAATGTTTTTTTTCACCCCCCTCCAGCCCCACCCCCCCCAACTTGAATTGTGCTTTATATGTGTGGTTTTTGTTGTAGCTAATACATTACATGCACAATTTAGATTAATAGTGAAAAGAATTGGTGCCAGAATGATAGATTATAACAAATAAGTTGCGTGTTGTTTTTAAGTTGGTTGTGCTTTTCCTATAATTTCACGGTGTGTTTCCTGTGCTTGCAAGAGAAGCGAGCGATGCTGAAAGTTCCATAACACGTTTTTGCCTGCTGGATAATTTACGCTCGCGTGCCTACGTTTTTTTTTCCTCTTTCTTCCCTCGGGCTTTGCTCTGTATATTTATACAAAATGGAGCAGTCCAGCTGTCCGTTGAGAAACGTAAACAAAAGGATGTAAATTGTCCCCAACGTGTGCCGCCTTGGGTATTTTGGTTAAAAACATTTTTGCCCGATGGCGTAAGGCGTGCACTTATTGGGAACACGCCGGATAAGCAATGGAACGACACGTGGGTTTCACGGTCGTAACGGTGTTGTTTTGTTTCCTGACCATGTTTTGCAGGGAGCAGGAATAGGATGCACCGAGTGAGTGGCTGTAATCGGCAGTACACCATGGTGGGCTGCGAGAGCCCCAAAGGAGCTAACCTCACCTTGCCATCTTCCGCGCCGCAACTGGGGCGACACCGACGAGCCGTTGTGGATGGTAATGGGGTCATACGTGTACTGATGGCTTTGAAGTATTGACTGAGGCTAAAGTGGCGTCGAGTTTCAGAGAACACTGTGAGATACAGCTGCTCGTCTTTACAGTCTGCATTTAGATCGATCTTGAGTTTCAATAAGAATGTTATTTATCCAGGAAAGCTGCAATGAGGCTCATAATGCTTTTCGGGAGGGTTCTACTTTGGGGTGTTTTGCTAAATGTTTTTTAAGCATTTATGTTCATACAGAAGGAAATTGATTACCCTGAGGAATTGTAGGCATCTGAGATGGTATTGCTGTTGCATGGCCGCCTTGCAGTATAGCAGGTTTCGAAGTTTTATAAATCTTAAGTTATAGATTAAGTTTGCACCACCGCACCTGGTGGTGATGCATGATGCCGTCACTCCAACCAAAGAGGTTGGCTGATTTATTGTTGCTATTCCAGTGTTTATTATAAGTCACCATGCAATTTGTAATTGTGGCCTATGCATTTACTGTTTAAATGTAATGTATAGGTTTTTACAGGTTACATTTGAATAAGAAAGTAAAGTATATTCAAGAATATCAGGCAATATTACGCACTCATTTGGTGACAGGAGTGAAAGTGAATGGTTTGCATTTTGCATGCACATTTATTGGTAGAAAAGTCTTAAACAGTACAAGTGGGGAAGCAGCTGATAAAACTGATGAGTGATAGCTTGTCGAGGAAATGAAGACCTCTAGTTTGAACTATAATGTTTATGGAGTCGGAGGTACAGGAGATAAAGAAAGGGAGTTCCAGACAGTGCGAGCAGCTGAGGATAAGAAACAACGTAAATGATCACATCGCAATGAAACGTGTGAGAACACCTTGTCATCTGATTTTTACTTCGATTCTGCTTGTAGCTCAACTTTGCAATATGCTTATCTTTGAGATATTTTCTTCTCCACTTGGTTATCACTAAACAATATAGACTGCTTCAGGTATATTCTTGGTTCTTTCGGTAAAGTCACGTAGAAGGGAAATAATAAAAATATCAAACAACGCTTCAGGTATGTTTTATTTATGGCAAAATGGCTTTCAGTGGAGCTGACATTTTCCTTTTCTTTCACAGATTGTGACTTGGACCATGTGACGAGGCGGTACAGCACTCCCCTAAATACATTCGGAAGCCCTGAGATTAAAAGCTCAAAGGGGCCAGAATATGAAACACCTTTGAAAATGATGCAGCTTATGGACGGAACCCAGATTCTGGATGGTGATGACTCTTGTATGGATTCCCGCCCAAGTAACATCTCTGAACTCCGACTAATGGTCTGGCTTAAGGAGCAGAGTGAGTACTTTGAGATTCTATGTCTATTTTGAGCAACTGTTATCCAGCAGTCAACGCTATTACCACTGGGCCAGTATGTACATGGTCGATGGCTTATTGTTTGATAATTTAAGCATGTCCTTTTTAAAAAATAGATGTTGAAATTCCTGTGGTATGTCACAAGAGTATCATTGTGTGGCAGTGTAACAATATAAATTCCAAGTTATAAAATTATCCTGGAGCTCATGGTTTGAACAAAAATGTTCGTTCTATTCAGGCATGTATGGGGGGTGTGTCCTTAACTTAAACAGTAAGGCACGTTGATCGATTTGCTGTCGTGGAAGTGTGCAACATGGAATTACCCATGTCGTGCAAAAAAATATAGTGAAACTTAGTCTTTTCATGTCACAACATTAAGTTCTAAATCAGTGTAATTTATTAAACAGGCGAGATAGTCATTTTCTTTTGTTAAATATGTAATGTCATAATTATTTGGAAGTCATGCAAATAAAAACGTTTTTTTGGCTGGCATGTGGGTGGACAAGTGTACTGTGCTCACGTGACCCACGTCCCACTGCGTTCAGCCGGGTTCGTGCGTGCTATGTCACACCTGCCCTCCATCCACCCTCGAAAACATGTTAACATGGTGTTTTTGCATATAATTTTTTACTAATTGGAATTTCTTGTTTTTGTTAATAGTAGTTTTTTAAACAAGTTGAATTATCTTTAATTTGTAACTGTTCCATATATATTGTATGTATTTCTGCATTATTTTCTTGCAATCTATTTCATGTTGTTGCTGTATTTCTTTAAACACAGGTGACCCTTAAAAAAGAGACACCTGGTCCCATTGGATTCCTATCTGGCTATGAATTAAATGCATCTTATCTTTTGCTTGCAGAGCTGCAACAGCAAGAATTTGGGTCCTTGCTCAATGAGATGTCCCCGCCCATGTACTCTCCCGACATTCTCAAGCAGTGCATCCAGGTGTGCGGCTTTGACACAACATGCATCTGCAGTTTGGAGAAAACCATGCTCGCAGAGACTGCCACAGACCTTTCCTCGTGCCAGGGTTTCCTCCAGTCGGAGGCGACCGCCGACCCTCGAACAGGAGACCCGCCCGCTTCGCCGCCGCCGCCATGTGAGCCTCGTGTGGCGGATGAGCGTCAGGACGGGGACGGCTCGTCTGTTTCGGGGCCCGCAGATTCGCCGGGGCGACTCCGAGCACCACTTCTTCACAACCTCACCCCCTTCAGCGACCAGGAGGAGGAAGAGGACACCTGCGGTCCTTTCTCACCTTGCACGGACGATGTCGATTCTTCGAGAGGAAGCCGGCGAGAATCCCCAAGTGACCACCTCCCGAACAAAGCGTCCCGGCTTCAGCCGCCCTTACGTCTGCGTGCACCGCAAAGCCTCCGGACAGACGGTAACATAAGCCGAGTTTGGTTTGCTTACCCAGTGATGTAATGTTGACAACGCAAAGGTCGAGTGCGGCTAATTTGAATGTTCACAACTAAAGATCATGGAAACATGCAATACAGATCAGAGAGTAGAGCAGTTGCCCATGAGTTTATATTGTAGCAGGTGATCACTCAACCCACCGTATATCTGGGTTGAGAAAAATTAGCAGCCTTTAATTGTCAAGCAGTTGTTTCCTTATGGAGACTGATCCCCGACCAAATGTGGAATTTTTGCCACTAGCCTTGTGAGTCACTTTCACGAATAAAATGATGCATTGCAATACGGTGTGCCTTTTCTTTTCATTGTATACTTACTGTACCGTGAATGTATATAATTGTCAGAAAAGAAAGTATACATATATTAAGAGTGCGAAAAAATATATATATATGTGCATAGAACAAGCTGTGCATTACAAACATGTATTTAACTTGAATTTAAGTACATGTATGCATTGTTTGCATTCATTTATCTGGGGCAAGTTGAATCCTGAAAATCGCAGCTGACAGTAATGAGTGCTTGCAGTCAAAGTGGATAAACAATCTCCTGGCAACTGGCGTATGCATCAAGGAAGCAGTGTTGAATAATGTTTTAAAGTGTTCACTTACAAATTTTCAGGATGCACGTTCATGCTACAGTGTACAGCATCAAAAACGTACAACATTGACGTGAAAGCAATATTTCGATTTAAAGCTTTCGTGACTGCAGGGATTCATCTTCTTGGTTCTTTCGGTAAAGTCACGTAGAAGGGAAGTAATAAAATAATAAAAATAAAACATAATAAAATAATTCTCACGACGTTTCGGCCACAACGCAAGCAGCCGTCCTCAGGTGAAAACCAGGTCCGTCGAGGCGACAGAGTCTGAATGAAACAGCACACGAGCTTGGAGCATATATATAAGCTGGGCGCATTGACAAAGGAATTTGCATTGTCAATGCGCCCAGCTTATATATATGCTCCAAGCTCGTGTGCTGTTTCATTCAGACTCTGTCGCCTCGACGGACCTGGTTTTCACCTGAGGACGGCTGCTTGCGTTGTGGCCGAAACGTCGTGAGAATTATTTTATTATGTTTTATTTTCATTATTTTATTACTTCCCTTCTACGTGACTTTACCGAAAGAACCAAGAAGGTGAAAGCAATATTTGGAGAAAAAACACGTTTTAAGAAAAAAGCATTGTATAAATAATAATAATTTACAGTGCTTTTTCAATACGTTGCTGAATGAAGGCCATCTCTCACCCCTGTCATGCTAGTTATTTGACCGTACTTCATGCTGGTCAGTGAGAGTTTGCTTAAGATGTAGTGCCCACAACCGGTTCAGATATCACTTTCCATTGATGTTTAGCTGTGGCCAGGAATTCATTTCAGATTACCCGGTTCATACTGCAGTGCGTGAACCACTTGTGTCATGCTCCCCTGTATGCTATGCACCAGACACAATACAATTTAATCTCAGGATGATGTACAATTATTTAAATTTAGGGTCATGATTCGATTGTGGTGAATGTTGGTGCCTCTTGGCTGCAGATGATAACGCGAGTTTAATTCATATAACATACGCATGCAAAAACATACATTTTAATGCACTCTATACAGTTAATGTATCGCGAGCTAAAGAATGTAAATCGATGCATCGTTCCACCCTGTGTACTATCTTGTACAATTAAAGCGTTATTGAAAATTTTAATCTGCATTATTACATGTGTATGGTTTGTAGGCTTGCAGCAGAGGAGCAGACATTTAATGGTGGAGCCAGGGAGGGTGGCTTCCAGTCTCTCTCAGCCCCAGGCGGTGGTGCGGGGTACAGCGGTAGCCCAAGGCTCTCAGCAGCGTCGAGTAGATGTGCCTGGTGCGGGTCAAGCCAAAGGCCTGGCGACGGGTACGTGAGTTCGTTCGCACCATCTTTGCATGCTTTTAAAAAGTAATATATTCTCTACTATATATATTAGTGGCTTAGTAAATATGCATTCACATTCCGTTGAATCCTAATCAAACAGTGGTCTTATAAAACAATCTGAAGCTAGAATGTAACCTACATACGAGTTGTAAATCAAACTGCTTGTCCTGAACATATTCCTAGCTATAACCCATGGCCTTATCTTGACCCCTAATAGTATCCGTGCCATTAACCAAAGCCAGGTATGGGCATGCTTACAATTTTGAACTCTGTTAAATATCACGACATCAGTGAATTCTCAGATAGTAATTGTTTTGTGTTTCCAGCACCTTCGTCCTCCAATGGGCTGCCAGCGGTCACTAGCCCAGGCCAAAATGTCCGGCTGGCGAACACGAACGTGGGTCGCGCAGCGGAAACGAGGCCCCGCACTGTTGCGACGAACAAGCAGCCGGCGCCGCAGCCAAGGGCAGCGAGCGGTCCCACCACACCTGCTCGGTCACGCCTCGTGCAGGCACAGAGGCCGAAAGTGGGATCGCTGAGACACGGCCAAATCAATGCCAGCCCAAGTATGCAATGCTCACTCTTCAAATGTTGGTCTTTACCATCATTGTATCATCCAGATCTCGCAAAGTGGTGCAGCCCTCCATGTTGGAGCCCATGGCAGTGAACATCTTTGTTCGAAAAATACTTGCGAGAGCCATTCAAGTGACCTTTGCTCTACACAGCATGAGGCAGAACTTTCTTCCTACCTGACCTGCGACATAGATTAATGTTCGTTGCATGGCAGTCAAACAAATATTTTTTAATATATTATAGAACCAAATTTACCGTGATACACTTGAGAACATGGTTTAAACGCAGGCAAGATGCTTGGATTCGAACCCAGGATCTCAGCGGTGCCAGCTCAACACTCTGATTTCTGAACCACCCAGGGAGCTCGTGACACAACACGCAATTTCTGCATTCTCCTGGGCACCAATTTCGCATGTGCTGCTCGATACACTGCTTCTTTGGCCCATATGGTATCTGGTTAGTTTAAATAGGCTTGTGTTTGCCCACCATCGCAGCTGCTTTGGCTATTTTGCATAAGGAAGAGTGTGGTAACTTGACTTGTCTGCTCTCTGTTGCACAGTGCTCTGGCTTGTTGATGCATTTTAAGTGCGGTTATAAAATGTAAAGGTTACCTGTACATGCCTGCACGCATGAAAACATGAAATGTGCTATACTGCATTTTTCTTTGGGTAGGGAACCTTTTAAAAAGGTGATAGTTCAGAGGTCACTTTTGTGTCTTGAAAATTTTGAGCCTGCCTAGGCCAACAAATTTTATTCAACCCAAAAGAGAAAAAGGATTTTCATTTAGTGCAAAAACTGCATAAGATTAGTTTTATTTTTCAGTTTTTTATATTTGTCCTTTCCCATTCTATGTCACCTTATAGATGATATGCATGTGAGCATGCCAAACCTGAACAGCACTATCGTGCGGCCGGCTCTTGCAGTTGTAAAAAACAGCCTCAGCCTGGAGTCCAATCTTCAGGATCCAGCTACAGATGCATCTCTTCGCTGTAAAACCAAAACAGGTATCATCCCATCGTGTTTTGCAGCTTTTGACGTTGAGTCCTCCCATGTTATGACACATTTGGCATTGTTTCTCATAAAACAATGATAGCTGTTTGTAAAATCGGATGGTTCTAAATATAAAACATTGCCTAGAAACTGGAGGAACATGCAACCCAAAAAATTTACCTAATAGTAGTTGAAGAAACGTTCCCAGGCTGTGTCCTTAATTTAAACGTCTGACAGAAACATGGGGCTTATTTAATGAGATAAAAACACTTTAAAGTTACTGTCAAGCAAGTCATTTTGGAACATGAGTGATGTCACTGTGACATCACTGTCAGTGCATTGACATCACCATGGTGCTATTTTTGAACCCCCGACCGATGTTAAAGTCTTTATTTTCTCATTAACAAAGCTTCAAACTCATGGGACAGCCCAGTGCACACAGCTATTTGATTTTTGTGGGTTGTATCTCAAATGAACATTGTTGCAAAATATCGTAATAAGCTTTCATACTCTGCTGCTTTACCCCTTCCCGTTCCGATGACATACGTTTACGTTCATCGGTTTTTCTTCCGATTCCGTTCCGATGACGTAAGTGTACATCGTCAAAATGAAACTGGAAGAAAATAACGTAACTTTATCGGTACCGAGGCTCCCACGAGGCCATGCGGGGAGGGCGTGTGGCACAGTTTGGCGTCAGCTATCGTAGAGTGCAGTCGTGTGCCTACAGTTATATGCGGTGAGTGCATTGCCTGTAAAAACAACAACGATATGCCTCTCTAAATCAAATTAATGCTGAGCCGCTTGCATGTTTCGAGATTCATTGGTGAACTGGAACCCACCCTGCAACTTGCAGATGTCTCGGAAAGGGTTAAGGACGACGTTTTCTTGAAGTAACGTTTTTGTGCCGTAATAATTTTGTCACAGGCTCGTCGAGGCTGCGTCTGCCGACGTCGACTTCCCAGTCGAGGCTGCCGTGCAAAACGACGCCACCTCCCGCCGCGTCCGGAGCGAGCTATCGGACGACCTCCCAGTCGAGCAGTCCCGGCACTACTCAGGGCGGCCCAACCGGTTGTACCACCACGCACAAAGTGCCCTCGCCTGGAACCCCGAAACCCCGTTCCCGCCTGGTAGTTCCGAGCGGGTCCCCGTCGTCGGGAGTAGGAGCCGGCGACAGGATTGGTGGCGCCCGGGCGGCAAGCACCAGCTCGTTGGGCAAGAGTGTGCTGTCGAAGCTGGCGGCAAGCAAGACCAGCCCTAACACCCAGCCGTGTTCTGCGGTGCCTCGCAGCAAGCTGGCACAGCCAACTCAGAGGTGAATATGTACCATGTACTTAAATGGTATGCTGTTTAATTGCACAGTTAACGTTGCATCGATGAACAGCCATTCTGTGGGTCATGTTACTTGTGGTGAATTGTGGGTATTAGAATTAAACTTTATGCAAATTATAATAAAATGGCCTTTATTACATTGCAAACAAAAATGTACATAGAGGAACAAGGGAGCTGTGCAAGTGCTTGATGCTGCTTGCGATGTGTCTCATGCTACTTGGAGTCTTGCGTTTACAATGAATTGTAAAAATCATAAACATAGTTTGATGTTACATAGGCAACTTGTTGTGACACACAGTTCCGAAATGCATTGGTTGTGGAGGGTTTTTTTTTATCATTCATGGACTTAATGGCAGAACCCTTTTTACTCTCTACAAATCATGGGACTTTTAAATTGCTATATTCTTGGTTCTTTCGGTAAAGTCACGTAGATAGAAAACTAAAACTAAAAAATGTTTAAAAAATTAATTAATTAGATAATAAAAAACACGATAAAAATAATAAAATGCAGTTAAAATTTATATTAAAATTTTATTTTTTAAACTTAATTTTACTATTTTTATTGTGTTTTATTATTCTTTTAATTATGTATTTAAATTTTATTTTATTATTTTTATTTTTTGTTTTCTATCTACGTGACTTTACCGAAAAAACCAAGAATATGAATTCCTGCAGTCACAAAAGTTTTAAGTCAAACATTTTAATTGCTATTTTGTAAATGCTACACGTGCTGGTAATTTACATTTCCATCTTTCAAAACTATTGGGCGTCAGGAGCTTCAATTTGTAGATGTTGACAGAAGTAATGTCAAGCATCATTAATTTGATATGTAAATTTTGGACATTGTTTTTTCCCCCACAGGTCCCTACAAATGCAAAGGTCTTTCGGGGTGTTAAAGGATGCTTCATGCAGAGTCAACTACTAATGAAGGATATGTAGCAATCCCAGCATATACAGATATCTATTGACTTATAGGAGGTCTGCATGTGAGGTTATGAGTGTTAACTGGTGCCATTCATCATACCTTTCTCAAATTACAGGCACCATATTCAGATTATATACCTCTTGAATGTGGATGCCCATACATAATTGGGTTTTGACTTGTTTTATAAAAAACAAATGTTATTCAAGTTGATAGGTTTGACTTTTTTGAACCACTGTAGATGTGCATAATTTACTGACATGCACGTACACTACTTAAGCATTCATTTATTAATCACCTTGCTTTGCAAAGAAGACATTCATAGTTTCTTTGCGTGCTTTTGCACACGTGCTTAAAATGATTTTAAATGTATGTGCGGTGTATTTTGCAATCACACCTGCAAAGTGGCACTCGGAGGGATTTTAATAATGCTGTTATAATCTTAACTTTGGAGCTTTCGTGACTGCAGGAATTATTCTTTGGTTCTTTCGGTAAAGTCACGTATAAAGAAAAAATAATAAATTAAATAATAGTATACGACGTTTCGATTGCAACACAAGCAATCATCATCAGGTATAATGAAATAGCGACATAAAATCTAACCAGAAAAAATTATAGACAGATATCACCAAGATACACAGAGACGATCACCCCTCTCTGTACCTGTGTTGCCCGCTCTGTGTATCTTGGTGATATCTGTCTGCTTATATGTCTGTAATTTTTTCTGGTTAGATTTTATGTCGCTATTTCATTATACCTGATGATGATTGCTTGTGTTGCAATCGAAACGTCGTATGCTATTATTTAATTTATTATTTTTTATTTATACGTGACTTTACCGAAAGAACCAAAGAATAATGCTGTTGTACTTTGTGTTTTCTTCTTGTAACTTGCTAGCCTTTATTGTGCCTAAAATCAGTCCGCTAACCTTTATTCAGTCTTCGCGTGTACGTGGTAATTGTTTTTTTGACTATATATACTAATGGAACTGGATATCGTAGCAGGTTTAGTAATTTAATATATGCACATATCCAAAGTATAATTTACATAAGCTACCTTATGAAAAGAGGTCATACTTTTTCAATTTTATAAGCCTAGTTTTTTCTCCCCATTAATATTATTCAGGTCTATTTATTGTAAACTAAAACCAGGAGTATATATAAATGTTCCCGAATAAATTCTGGGCACGCAGGTCTTGTTGTTAAATGTGTAGAGGATAGGTTAATATTTCCGTTATAAACCAATGATGGCATTACAGATACGCTTTCGTAGATGAAGTGGGATGTGTTTGTTGAGGGTCTGGGGGACGTGTTGTGTGGCTGTTGAAATGGGACTGGAGTAATTTGGAAGGAAAATGGAAGGGTTACGGATTGTCATATAAGACAGACAGCTAGGAAAAAACTATTTTAAGTGGCTCGCTGGTACGGTTGCCCAATCATTTGTGCTAGTTAACATTTGCTTTGCAAGTACATGGGTACAGAGTAAATTTTTTACCAGCTCTGCGAAGAGGATAATCATATTTTGTCATGTTCATGAATTTGCAGCCCTACCGTTGGAACTTTGTGTGTTAAATGCAGTGGTATGTGGCTTCAACAAGGTACAACCTTCAGTGGTGTTTACACAATGATACTACTAATATTGCACTACATAGAACTCAGTACCAGCAAATCCCATTGCATGCCATAATGTTATGCTTAACTGACTTCTTTAGAAAGACTGTTACTAAATCCTGTTACAGAGGGGAATGTTTAGGTTCTGCTGTAAGCACTTGTGGCATATGTTTTGTACGTATATTTTACAAATGATAAACATTGCATAGCATGAATGCACCCAAAAGCCCCGAATGCAGCACTTACTACTTACTATATGGCAGCCTTGAAGGGTCGTCTGTACAATATTTTTTGACTTGCTGAACTTTCTCAGGCCAATTGTTCACCAAAGTTGTGCTTGTCTTAGGTTCTTTGGTCACTTTCCAAGACAATCAAATACAGAGGTATGGTGGACTTGGTAGGAACTTGGCATGCAATGATTCATCAATATAGTATATCAATGAAAGTGAGTTATTTTGCCCATGATGCATGCATAAAATTGCACTTGTCTGAATCCATTGAAATGTATGCAAATTATATGTAAATGATACGATTAATGTTACTTTTAGGCTAATGGAGCAAAGGAACCATTCTTGAATCGAACCCCAAACCCTGCCTGAATCGTGACGATGTATTGAACCACTCGGGAGATGAATCATAACATGCCTAGTAGATATCCTGCTGATAAAAACCATAGTTTGCATTTTTACAAAGGAATATTTCAGATGTTGCCTTAATTATTGAACAGTAGTCATGCTCTTTAACACAATTTTAGTTCGTTTATTTGAGCAGCATGGCTGGCAGGGAGAATTGTCTATGCACGTTTTTTTGTGTTAACGTAATCTGAGCTTTGAATGCTGTCGGGCTCATTATGGTTCTGGTGATATTGTTAATGCCATTTAATGAAAAAGTTGGCGTATCTAGCGATATTTATATAATATGCCATTTTATTAACAATACATTAAATGCATTTGAGATTCATTTTTCTATTTTTTATTTTGGGCGTGACAAAATCGCTTGACCAACCTGGGGGGTATTGTTCGTTGTTTATGTTGTCCTTTGTTTAATAAACATTTTGAGTTTAAACTTACATTATATTTATTCAACTCACCATTGATATGCTCTTGATTCCTAATGTTAATATCCGCAGCAGCAATGCTTTATCCACTGCTGTGTGAAGGCTGCGGCCATCCATGTCTTCTCGCAATGTGTCCTTCCCAATCCCGTTTTACTTATGTCAATATGATCCATATATTTTGCGTCGGTTCTTTTCAACGTCTTGATACTGGCAAAAAGGTCCCATTGATGGAACTGCTCAACCCGAGCTATTCATACTTTGACACTTGTGTCGTGAGCGACTTCCGAGACACATCGAGTAGAAAGAAGGCTTCTTGTTTATTAAGAGCACATGGGGCGATACATTACGTAACGCAGCTACACATCGGCGATCCTAACACATTAGCCCATCTCCGGCATACGCTACGCTAGCTGTCCAACTAGCGCAGCGATGGCGATTGAGAGGGTCTTACAGAAGAACAGCCACGTGGTCGGGGACGAAGATATGACAACAAGCAGCGACACAGCCAGGACCCGCAACAGCACCCAGACCTCTGGTTCGGCACCCCTGATATGCGCCCCGGCGTGGCCACGCCCCCTTCCAGAACCTTCGAGCAGGTTCCTGGAGCCTCTGGACTAACTCCGCCTTTCACCTTGACCCCAGATACGCCCCCCTTATAATAAGGCATTACATAATACCCCCGTAACCGCAATTACCCCTTCAGGCCGATAGGTGTCACCCTGTCATTACACTTGCATTGCCTTTTGGCGTTCTCTGGTCTAACACTGGTGAGACAAGGCCATCAAGAAGGCTGTCTTTGGTGTAGGCCAATCAGTTTCAAAGACGATGCATACAATATCAGAGCCTGTTTGCATATTTTGTCACAAGTATGTGTGGTTAATGTAGACTTTGATACCTTGAAATAGATATCTAATTGGTGTTTGAACATCTTAACACCTATTCATATTCTTGGTTCTTTCGGTAAAGTCACATAGAAGGGAAATAATGAAAGAATAAATAATGTAAATTTTATTTTATTATTTCCCTTGTATGTGACTGCCGAAAGAACCAAGAATATGAATCTCTAATCACGAAAGCTTTAAATAAATTTAAAAAATTTAACGACTGTTTTATTGTCAGAAAGTGTAAAGCCTTTTTTTCTCTCGTAGGGCAATTATTGACTAGACCGCAATTAAAATGATTCAATGAAATTCATGAAATGTAAAAGTACCTGTATAATAATTTACAGTCCTCTGTCAATCCACTTCTGTCAGAAGGCCTCCGTTACAATTCGACAAGACTTCTCCATGCTCGTCTGTACAGGTTGATGAAGTGGAGGCAGGACAGGATAGTCGCTACTGTTTCCTGGATTCATAGTGCAGTGCGTTAACCACTGCTACACCTCAACGTATGCTTAGTTTTTGTTTGTCATATGACCACTGTAACTAACAGCACTGCACCGTGTATATTGGGTGGTAGTATCCACATTGGTAGGTAAAAATTTCAAAGTGCAAGAATGTTAACTGCATGTCGATACATGCCACTGCATACAAGTGTGTAGTTATATTGTGCAAGGCGTGGCAGTTGTGTTTAGCCAGGCTAGCCTTGTAAACGTCAACGATACTCTAGTATCCATGCCGTGAGAGGTAACATAAGAGCTTATCAAGGCTGCTCGTTTTAAGTCATTTTATTCAGCAAGGTCTTCATCTATATATATGAAAGGGAAATTTGTAAATGTGTGTCTGTTCAAAATGTTTAGCGTACTTCCCGACATGCAACAAACTTGAAATTTGGCATGTGGGTACTTTCCAGACTGTACACCATGCAAAAATTATAAAAATACACTTTTGTGGGTTTTTTTTGGGGGGAAGGGCGAAATAATGGTTATATTTTGCACGGCAAGTGAGCGGTGACGTCACATCTGTGATGTCACCCGCATGCGGCAGCGTCACGCAGTGTGCCTGCTGACGTCACGCCCCCCCCTACCCTCCACATAGGTCGTGTATTTATCAAATCCCATTAAGGGGCCATCCATAAATGACGTCACGCGATTTTGGATGATTTTTGACCCCCCCCCTTCGTCACACGACGTCACAAAAAGTCAGACCCCCCCCTCAAATATGACGTCACAAAGCTCTGCCCACCCCCCCCCCCCCAAAAAAAAATATATAAAACATGCTTCAAATCGCTTTAAACTATTGTCATTGTAGCGCGTATTTAATGTGGCGCTGCACTCTGACGTTGTAGGAGAAAACATTTATTAAAAAGTCTATTTAATTAAGTAGAACGTGTGGTCTATATTTATTAAAAGTTACGCATTTTGATGTGACGTCACATATCTCAACACCCCCCTCCCCTCGTCACACATCGTCACAAATGTCTGACCCCACCCCCCTAGGTGCGTGACGTCATTTATGGGCGGCCCTTAATACAGGGAGGAGCAATGTTACAGGGAGGAACAATGTTCCACACTGCCCACCAGGGATTATTTAGCTGTCTGTCTGTCTGTTTGTCTGTCGTACATAATATATAATACACACAGCTCTTTGATTGGTGGAGACCTTACAAACAGCTCTTTGATTGGTGGAGACCTACTGCCGGGTACGGAGAGGGGAGGTGCCTAAGGGAGGAGGGTCAGGGGAGGGGCCTAAGGAAGGGGGGAGTCAGGAGAGGGGCCTGAGGGAGGGGTGGTCAGGGGAGGGGCCTGAGGGGGGGGTCAGCGGAGGGGCCTGAGGGAGGGGGGGTCAGGGGAGGGGCTTAAGGATATGGGGGGGGGGTGCTCAGGGGAGGGGCCTAACAGAAGGGGGGTTAGGGGAGGGGCCTAAGGGAAAGGGGGTCAGGGGAGGGGCCTAAGGGGGGAGGGGCCTAAGGGAGGGGGGGCGATAGTTAAGGGGGCTGTCTGCCTGGCTACCTAAAGTCAAGTTATCTTGTATACATACAGATAGGAACAACAGGTTCCACACTGCCCACCAGGGATTATTTGTCTGTCTGTCGTGCACGAATGCGCTGTCCAACCAAGTTCCTACCTGCCCACTCCGAAGGAACGTGTTCCACACGCAGGAAAAGTCCTCACATTTCCTATTGCCTCAGCAGTCCGCCTGCTGTGTTGTTTCACCTGTGGACGACGGCTTGTGTTGCTATGGAAACATCATGAGCTATTATTTTTCTCCCTACGTCACTTTACCGAAAGTCTCATTTCAAACCCCCCCCCCACAAAAAAAACTGTCAACCGGAAAAATGACGTCATCATAGTTCACTACGTCACCGCGTGCCGTGACGTCACCGGCGCGAGCCCCCACAATCCCGTGCGCGAGCGAGCGAGCGAGCATGGAGGGTGGCGTGGATGGAAGGCCGCGCTGCCTCTCGGCGGTAAGGGCACAAATGTCGCTCTCTCTCTCGCGCTCTCAACGCAACCTGAAACACCGTAAACAATTGGAACACAGCGCGCCTCGTGAACGTCGCCGCTGAACCCTCGTGTTTATAATATATATATGACCGCGTCTTGGTACACGTGGGTTGAAAAGAGTGTCGCCATGGCAACTGTCGCGATTCGTATGGTTCGGCATGGAAAGGCGTGCGACTCGTACGAAACAGGGTTCAAGTCGTGTGCGGCATCGCCGATAAAGAGACACTGGGAGGAGAGAGAGAGAGAGCGCGAGAGAGTTGATGGACAAAATAGCAATGCTGCGTTTATTGCGGAAAAACCGGTTTACACGAAGCGGTTACCGGTATAATTTTTGCTGTTGTTCAAAACCGATTGCGACGAGACTGATTGCCACACGTCCACTACAGCACGCGACCTCACCCGCGGATTTGGTGCAAGTGCTGCCAGGGACCACTCCGCACCGCATCAGGAGTTGATGGAGAGGCAGACCCACGTGGAAGAAGCACTAAACATAGGGGGGACACACGCATACGAAGAGACAAACACACGAATACAAAGTGTTACGACGCAGATGCATGCACTACAAAGACACGGATACAGACAAGATGCAGATGTACAGATACAAACGGGGGTCACACGCAGCGACATAAACACGGATCTACGATAACACTGGTCAACAAAAAAAAACATTTCTGGCCTGGACTTTTGCAGCTGTTTTAGACTAATTTCAGGGTGTTGATTCCAAATCTGATCTCAGATTTGCTCTATCACATCTCATTTTTATGCTATCGGCATACCCCAATTTCATTGATTGCAAGTTGTTGCGCGTCAGTGACTGCTTTAGTGTTAAAATATGGTGCTGTATTTTTCGGATAGTGTGTTTATTGTATAATTGTATGTAGATATGCACATTTATTTAATATTTTTCTTCTGCAGTTTTTATTGAAAATGCAATATTTGATATCTCAAAAACCTGATGTGATAGACAAAAACTGATGCCAGATTTGGAATCAGCACCCCAAAATTACCTTAGAACCGTTGGAATACCTTATGCCAGAAAAACTGTTTTGACCAATGTAATACACATGGTTTTTTAGCTCGTCTTCCGGGGTGGATTAACTCAGATTTACATCACGTGTATGGGCTCTGCCTAAGGCAGCTGTTTACATTAATTTTTTTAGTCAGCAGGATCCCGTATGGAGATATTTGGACCATTCAATTAACGCGTGTTTGGAAATTATGAGGGTACCACCGGCAAAACACTCAAAGCAGTGCTCTACCGCCATCTCCTGGCTACCCCGTAGCCAAGTCCACAGCATCTCCCGATTCCCAAGCAAGCCTCCCATTCAAGCAATACCCAGGCTCATTACCACTCGGCTAGTGATATCCACACTAGGTCCGGACACGTGATGGGTGGTATAGTGTGGCCGCTAATGCAGCGTTGCTGGATTTTCCATCTCAATTTGCCCCCTAGGTGCGCGTTTGCGGCTCACTGTGCATGGCTGTCGTCAGTCACAGGGAGAGGTGACACGCGCGCTCTGTAACTCACCCCCGTGTGCAGATACATTCGGATGTGGACGACGACACATGCGTCACGTTCGTGTTGAATGGCGAGGACCACACTCTGGGCAACCCGCTGCGCTACATGGTTATGAAGAAGTGAGTACCGCCACCACCACCAGAGGGCGAGCGGTGAACGCGCCCGGATTTCTCAAAACGGCGGCTTTCGCGCAAGGCAACGCTGCAGAGCCACTCTTCTTCTTGGTTCTTTCGGTAAAGTCACGTAGAAGGGAAATAATAAAATAATAAAAATAAACTTAGATAATAATATAATAAAATATGTTTTATTATTTCCCTTCTACGTGACTTTATAATAAAAATAATATAATAATGTATTAAAATATTTTTTATTTCCCTTCTACGTCACTTTACCGAAAGAACCAAGAAGATGAATCCCTGCAGTCACGAAAGCTTTAAATCGAAAAAGAGCCACTCTTTTTGTGTGTTTCGTTACAGCTCAGCCCATTTGGTGTGCTGACGTAGTGGTTCTGTGAAGCTGGCACTGTTCTGTGAAGCTGGAGACAAAATCATCCACATTTGCGTGGTGTAAATATGACACGTGAAGAGAGGAGGCATCATTTGGTGTGTGTGTTTGTGTACGCTGTAAGATATCGACTTGTGGGGAGAGACCACGGCTCCGTGGTTAGGGCTCTGAACGTTGCGACCTTTTAACATCGGTGGAGAGTTTTCGCTAAAGCAGTTCTGGATCCCCCTTTTATCCACTGGTCACCAACTCGCACTGATCAGTGAGACAGCGTGTGGTTAAACAACCCCGTTATTGACACGGGGAAGGTCTTCGTTCAGCAGCGGATTGACAAGAGGGCTGAAAACAATGAAATGACGCGAATGCCGTTTAATTTGTCAACATACGTTGTGAGGATATATGACTTTTTGATTGAATATGCTCCAACTTCCGCTACTCTTATGCCTGGAGTATTGCCAGTGGTTGTGCCTTGCTTTTTTCTGTCTGTTATCCCTAAACCTAACCCATCTTCATCGTTTGTGATTTATTAATGTGAAGTCATACAGTTGTGGACATTGATGCATCTGCGTAGATAGAACTGGTACATATTGTTATAATGAAAAGGAGATGTTTAAAATATATATATATAAATTGGTTACACATGGATGTCCGGATAAATAAGCAACATATTTGAGGAGATTTCAGGCCATAGTTGCAGTCGTGCAAGCCAGCACGGAAGTACAGTAAACAAATCTAATTTGTTTCCAGCCCTGACGTGGACTTCTGCGGTTATAGCGTGACACATCCGTCGGAGGATAAAATCAACTTTCGAATTCAGACACGAGGTAAGTCGTTTATTGTGTTTGCAATTATGTCCTATGGACATTCACGTTTTGGAGGCAAGCCTATTTTGGATGCTCCCAGTGCAAGCACTGACTGTCCTTCACATTTTGTCACCGTTTGCTTTCATGTGTGTTTTTTGCCAACATAAAGAGAGGTTTTGTTAATTTTCTTTCGTGTTATATAACTTTCACCCCTTATTGATAAAAGCACGCCTACAGTAGGTCTGAGTTGATGCGATGAATTGCCATGGTTCGGGATTGTAATTCGATTAAAGAAAAACATTTCTCCAGCGAATTCATCAGTCTCTAGTGGTAGCAGATGTCATGTAAACCTATTAATTTAAGGAGTACAAATCTGAAAAAAATATTTCCTATACGCGCGAATAGTGCGTAAGAATCAATTTCAATCACATGTCATGCATCGTTATACCCCTCGTTTACGGTAACATTAACATCGCGGGTGGATGCTTAATATGTTGTCTATTAAATTTAAATTGCAACAACTAAATAATTGGAGCGTGTTATTTCATGTCCGCAGACCGCACAGTAATAATGGTCAAAGCAGATACGAAAGCACGTACCACACAGGCACACAGTTGTGGTTGAATTACAGTGCTGCGCTGAAATGTGAGTGTGCTCTTATGTGCTTGGCAGGAATCCCAGCTGTCGATACGTTCCGAAGGGGCTTGTGTGAACTGACGACAGTTTGTGAGCACATACTTGCCACGTTTGAGGTAAGGCCTGCCTTTGTAAGTGTACTTTATGGAAGTTTAAATACTTGGGAGTTTGTGATGCGTGTTGTGAAAATCCATTTGCGGTTTTACAAGATATAATTTCCTTAATGTGCAATAGATTTGAGACCATAATTACATGATGTTACTCGATAGGGGATGGTTAAAAACAATTTCGATACTGAACTCTTAATTAAAATGTTCATATCAATTTACATTTAATAAATAGTGGGAAGGGGTGGAGCAGTGGCTTAGTGCTTAGAGTACTGCAATTCAAACTCTTGTAACCCGAGTTCAATTCTTGGCCACAGCTAACATCGTTGAGTGATATCAGAATCAGTCCTGAGCACCCACACTAACCAGGGTGGTGAGGTATGGTCAAACAACCCCATAACTGACATTGACACGGGAAAACCTAAATCCAGTAAGTAAATTATCAAAGGGGCTGTACTAGTAATTTGGTGAAAAGGGAAATGATGCAAACATACACATGATCATGTTTATAATTCTGTGTGGTGCAATAATAAACCCTCGGCACAGTGTGTGTTTTACAAGCTGTATGGAAATGCTCTGGTTTTTCTGTGCTCCACAGGCGAGCGTGAAAACCTACAACGCAAGTCACGGCATTGCAGACCCGATGGATGATTCGTAATAATAATGTACATCAAGCTGTTATTGTGTCACATGTAGTGTTGCTCTGTGTTCACATCTACTTTTCGTACGTTGTTGAATTGTTCAAAATACAATTTTTATGCAAAACACTTTAAAAATGTTCTCCTAAAATAAAGTACGAGCAAAGATATTTATTTTAGCAGATGCTGTGTGAAGTACAAAGCTAACCATCGCCAACAGTTTTATTCCAAACATTTACAAAATAAAGTCTTCTCCGTTTGAGGCTGGTTGACCCCTCTATACCAGTAACATCTCACTCACAATCTGTTAAGCACAAATATCTATATTATAAACATGTCAAAATTAAAATGACCAAGGGTAGCAGTACAGTGTTTTCACTGCACGTCAGATATGGCAAATGCAGTTAAATTACCACAATTTTTTTAATGCAGTTCCAGGATAGCAAATTAACATCTTTGTCTGATGTCTTTTTCCCAGTCACCTAACGCTGAATGAAGCTCTGTAAAACCTTCCTTTGGCACTTTAGCGTTGCGTGACTGTGGGGCCTTAAATCATGGGGAAAACGAGTGATGTTTGTAAGCACGTAATTTACCTTCAAGGCCTATTTAGCCAAGCCAGGACACAAGCTGAATGTGCTCTTAGTTTTTTTTTTATGTTCTAGGGGTAATTAAAGCTACATAACGCAGCTACTTATGAGTGTTCTGTTTGCAGCATTGGCTGCAACTTCGCAAGAGAATTTCAAATAAATGTTGATAAACTGGGTGAGTATTGAGGCTTTAATACTGACCTGCAAAGCTTTTGTAAAAAAATGTTGATGCATTATCCATGTGCATTCAGCATTTCACTGACTGCAGTTGCAAAGAATAAAGGTTCTGGTGCAGGACTTTATTTAATTCGAACCATTTTTCTTGGATGATTCTGGTATGTAGTATGGCTGCTGTGCAGCTCATTGTGAGAAAAACAACTCCGCATGTGATGGTTAATGACACCAAGACCACTCCGTTGCGCTGCCAAGTCTGCATGGGTGGCGGCCGCGAGCGTCTGTGTGAGGTCCAAGCAGCCACTGCATGGCAGCAAGGCCCCATCTTATAGCCCGAGGAAAGAACCTGTAACTTAGATGCAGTGTAAACAGCAATAAATAAATACCTTAAATCAGCCAAAACTTATTTGTTAATTTGTGTCTTGTTGCCAAGTTGCTTTTTTGTGATGTAGGCCTCCACTAGTAATGCTCCCATGTGGTCTAGTTCTACTTATAAGACCATAAGCTTTCGTGACTGCAGGGATCCATCTTCTTGGTTCTTTCGGTAAAGTCACGTAGAAGGGAAGCAATAAAATAATAAAAATAAAACAATAAAATAAAATAATTTTAATTTTATTATATTTTATTTTATTATATTATTTTATTATGTTTTATTTTTATTATTTTATTGCTTCCCTTCTACGTGACTTTACCGAAAGAACCAAGAAGATTATAAGACCATTTTACTCCCCACTCACACAGCCTAATCCCCGAGTTACCAACCAATCGCCAGGAACCTTGTAGGTGAGAGCACAGAGTGTCTTACCGTGCGATTGTCTTTTTTTTATTAGCAGATGACATGGAAACTGGAATTCACATGAGTTTAAGCAGAGTTGGAAAACACGTGATTTGCATTTGATTGAAAAGGACACATGAAGGTGACCAGTGTTGAGAGATGCCTCGGTGTTGCTCCATGTCTGGAACTCAGCGGGGGCTGCAGTGGGTAAATGCTCAATCTGGCCACCCTCCAGCAACGATGGGCTTTGGGTCCTGAGCAGATGGCAGCGTTCGAGCTAACGTGGACGGAAAAGCATTACCACATGGGGAGCTGCGTTTCATTTGTAAGGAAAACATGAGTGAACGTAATCAAGGCCTTACTTTTATTGGCTGATCAGGCTTGCTCCTTGTCAAGCCAAGAAAGCTTGCTCGGTACACCACCATGGAATAATATTGATAAGTTCCACGGGGCCGGCTTGCACTTAATGAAGCATTGCGTCACAGTTTGCCTCCGGCTAACGCCTTTGAGGGTTGTTTTTGTCTTGTGTAGACATTCTGTCAGTGCTGACGCGGGTGCTGTAGTTGGACGCTGATGGGTTGTGACAGTCGGGAGGGGGGATCCCGTGTCTTTCTCTGCTACTAGACGGCCAACTTTGGGCCTGAATAAATATTTCCTCAAATTGTACAGATAACAGCACCCACGTGCGCCGATGTTCATTAAGTGATAAAACGTGTGTTGCATAATTTGTTTCAACGTGCTGCAAACAATTTAAGGTAGCTAATGAAGCCCAATTAAATTAAGACAATTTAGCTGTGCTGCAGTTTGTAAAAACGTTGCGTTGCGGCAATAGGATTCGTCTTTCTGGTAGGTATCGTGTAGCCATCTGCCTCCAATTATCTGCATTTAAGCTCAGCAAGTTAATGGCAGAGCTGCAGATGAGCTCGCATAAGGCAGCAGAGAAGTCTGCAGTGTACGTATGTTGAACTTCTTTTGCATCTTACATAGCCAACCATGCTAATCGGAGGTGCGGGAAATAATCCAGCCGGTTTCTCCCAAGTGTTTTACAATCTTACAGGTATCAAAGAGTCAAGAGCGTAAGCAATAATAGCCTCTTGGTGTAAGAGGGCGTTTTATCTGCCAGCGCCCTACTGCGCTGGCAGATTCCTCTTCGTACGTTTTGATGTTTCGACTTGGTGTTCATGGAGTCAATAAAAAAACACCCCGACCGTCACGTTCCCGTGCGGCCGCTGAATGGACCCTTGTGTTTGGCCGTCACGGTGCGTTGTTGCCCAAACGAACTTAAATGAAAACATGCCGCGTACAGCGCGCACACCGATAAATACCATTTTTTTTTACCAATCTGCAAACGTAACGGTGACTGCACGAGCCGTGATTGCGGGTAACCCTTGTAAGGATTGCTGCAGAACTGAAGTAGGGGGGGGCGGGGGGGAGAAGGGAAAACACCCCAACCAACATTTGGACGGTGGTTGGTTGAGTGGGGTGTGTGAGTGAGTGCGTGCAGGAAGGGGGCAAGGGACCCCCGCCATGAATGGCTACCCTTTGTTTGAACTACACGCGCTTGCTTGTCCTCCCCCCCCCCCCATGCATTTTAAGTTGAATAATATAAAGCGCTGCTGTTTGTGGTGGCCTCCTGCTCGCAGCCCTCCCTCCTGCGCCCCTGCCGGCTCCATCTCCGGAGCCGCGGTGTGGGTGCGCGCTTTCCCCCAGCGATGATGGCAGGTGCTGATCGCACATGGGGCCCACATGGACACTGGCTCGGCGGAGCGACTTCGAGCAGTCCGTGAAAGCCCTTGGAAGCCGTCGTTTGTTCACAATCACAAACGCCCGGTCGAATTTTCTTTGGCGTAGCGCGCGGTGTGTTTCCGTGGGGGTGGGTGGTGTTTTTTTTTGGCACTTATTGTTTGGGTTGATTTTTGTTTGATTATTTGTGTCGTGTAATGGAATGCTAAACTACGTTATTATTTTTTGTTAGTTTTTACTTATCATCATCTCTACTGGATCTTGTAATGACCAATGCTTTCAGACTGGTGTAATTTACACGAGGACGCATATTTATCTTCTTGGTTCTTTCGGTAAAGTCACGTAGAAGGGAAATATTAAAATAATTAAAATAAAACATAATAAAGTAATTCTCACGACGATATTTAGTTTTGCTCCGGAAAACTGTACGAATTCACCATTTTAAAGTATGGTACTGTACTTCCTAATTTTGGTTTTATAACCATTTTATACATTTCCAATTTAAGAGCAGTACTGTTGAATAGTTTAAACATTTTTTTTAAGATCGAATAACTTTTTCAATAAGAAAATACTTTTTATGCACCGCAAACTTATGGACCATTAATGCACGCAGCGACAAGTGATTTCTTTTTTTTGCGTCGTTTGACACTTTCACGTTTTGCCTTTCGTCCCTGAGCATTTCATGTTCAGTGCTTATCGTACATTTAAGATCTCCGATCAAGCATACAAAAAAAACCCGTAGGCTTTGAAGCGTGCGCTCGCTGTGAGGTGCTGCTCTCAGTCAGACCCTCGCTGTCTCAATGGCCAAGTGTCTGTCTAGAGATGTTTGGCTTATGCCCTTCCTGAAGACGGAAGCTTGTGTTGCTTCCGAAACGTCGTGATTTTTATTTTACTTTTATTAATTTTATTTTTTACCTACGTGACTTTACCGAAAAGAGTATGAATCCTTGCAGTCACGAAAGCTTCAAATCTAGAATTATGCCCTTCCTGTCTGCCTGGGCGAAACACAATCCTCGACACCTTCAGATTGTGGTCGCCCATAGCGTGCATCTCGCAGTTGCTTTTGGTGCGTAGAAACAACGAAAACAACAACTAAAAACCCCAACACAATCATTGAAGGTGTGCGTGTGTGGTCTTGTTTTGGCTTTGCTTTCTGTTTACATTTCACGGTGGTTTGAAACGAAGGGGAGACGAGTGCATGTACAACACCGTGTGCTTCGCTCGTCGGCGAAGACGAGCCGATATCATTACTCGCGAGGCCGCATTTCAACCCCACAATCTGTTTCGGATCTGCCCAAGTTGGTCACGCGTGTTTATGCCCCTTGGACGCACGTGAACTTGCAGTTTTTCGGTGCTGATTGCGCCGCCTTTTTCCGCCCAACTCCACCGCACCCACCAAACGTGCCGAACCAAGCTTGGATCACCACCGCTCCACGTGTCCAATTTCACCCTGGCTGAGTAACTCACCAGAGGAACCCGATCATTTTCGTGGCACCGCATGCCCCCCCGCCGCCGCTCCGCCCACAAGCAATGCTCATTTCCTGCTCTTTCCCTTGCAGCACTTGGCTTGATTAATATCAGGCGATTATGTTTTTCTTTGCAAAGCTGGCTTCAACTCGCGGAAATACTTTTTTTTTTTTGCACGACTATGATAATAATCACTTGCTTCGCTTTTATTCCGTCGGCTGTTTATCAAGAGTTGTTGAAAGGTCATGAATATTTACGTTTTTTTATGAAAAAAAAATAATAATTGGTTGTAATTTTGTTTCTTGCAAATTACGTTTATCCCTTCTGTTATTATTTGTATTGTTTTTCTTACGAGGGGCACACTCAAGAAATGAGTAGGGTTCGTAATTTGTGTCCTGTTAGGATTCCGTACACGGATAATATTTAACGACTGAAACCCGCGCACATCTGTGCTCATGCTTGGGACACACATAACACGTGTATTTGTGAAAATAGTTTTTACTCATAAACCCAAGGCTACCATGAAACGTTACGAATGGCAACATTTTCTTACGAGATTTTATGCTCAGTTCTTTTTGGTTTAAATGTTTATATAATAAAAGGAGACTTTTGTTATGTTTCTTCAATGCAAATATGGTTGCACATATAAGCAATCCGCTGTTCTCACGTGAATCTTCTTTCCTGAGCGCTTCTGGCCAGTGAAAATAGCAAATACTGATGCTAACGTTTTCGTCTCAAGGAGAAGAAACACACAGCATCAATCCCGGTGAATGCGGGAGAGCAACCCAGCCTTGGTCACACGTGTTTTAAATTTTCCCATATTGCACTCTTTTTGTGATCTATAGGTCTCTAGGCTTACATTTGGATGGGATTTAGGGAGCGTGCGGCCAATGGCAACATCATGGGCTACGAGTGCATGCCAAGCTTACCTTACCTCTGAGTGTCTTCGTGCGTCTGAAAATCTGTATTCGTTTGCACGCTGTACGGGGTTGATTCTTGGCTGCACACACCACCAGTGGAAATAATGTCTGAACCTGGCCAAGCAATCTCTCCTGTGTGCCGTGCTGACTTTAATAGGCGTCTGCCTACTTAGGACACTTGCCTTAACGGGACTGTGCAATTCAATTGGGAATGTTTG